GCGATTTGTTCAGCATATAAGTCATAAGACTTGGGTAGAGCCAATGGTTATTCACGCTAACGCGTTCTAATTGCGAAATTACTTTAGTATCACCGCTTAGGTATCTGTGCACGTGTTATTAGTAATCTAGCAAACAAGCAAAACAAGCAAAGTTTATTTGTAGCTTTAAGAAAGTTTTAGTTTCCTCCAACCCACACCATCGACAGTCTTGATTGTATCTTAATCTCATTCGTGTTTGTAACTTATCCCTGATTACTGGACCGTTGGTGTAGTGTATTCGTCCAATCTTTTATGTAATAGTCTAGTGTGTTATTTACGTAGGATATTTACATTTAATTAACTGTCTGCTCCCAAAACAAGCCTTTGCCTGTTGTGGTTTTAGTTAACCTTAACCTGAGGCATATTTTATGCCTCTCTAGAGTTTTCTATATAGGGGCCTTTTATTCATAATGCAAAGCTACTGTTGTTCACGACGCGGTGTTGCCGCCTGAGATTGGTCGATTTTTTGGCTTTTTGCAAGAAACTAGTATACGTAATAGTAATATTAGGTATGTAATGTTTGAAACTTCGAGAAGTACAATTCGTTTTATACGCAAGGGTAAACACAAAGCGAAGCGTTTACCAAAGGTTAAAGTTATGAAATTATCACATCTAAACAATATACTTTGTTATCATATTTACGCGAAATAAATGTTTATCAAGTCGCCTCATAAAATGTGCTGTATTTCGGCTTTGCTACAAACACAGACTTTCATTGCTAAACCTTTTGAAACAATAGAATCTGGGAAAGAAAAAAACAAAGGGAGCTAAAATTATAATTTGAACAGAACATTCCATAGTAATAATTAAATCGCAGAAGGTTACATAACAAGCAGAGTTACGCAGGTGAAAAATTTTGTTGATTAGCTATTTATTAGGATGTCACACCGAGCTGTTTTAAATTGAGTTTATTTATAAATAAACAGTTCTTAACTACAGTGAAACGAATGGCTTCTACTTTGAAAAAGAGAGCAACACAGTTGAAACAACCAGAAAGAAAGGTAAGCTAAAGTAAGATTTTAAACTGCTTTAGATGAAAACAGAGACACTGCAGGCATGCCAAACAAAACAAGCTGCTCAACACCCTAATGAGATTTAGTAGTATCAATTCATTGTGTGAAGGGCAGCTCGGTTGACGACGGTATACTGGGGTATTTTTCCTGCGAGATCAATAACGTAGAGTGGAAAAAACTGGAAGAAAACCGCGGCAAAGTCGTCAAAATAAGCCGCCAGTCATTTTCAGGGGATTAATTTTGACTACGATCAACTTTGTTGTTCGATTGAATTTGCCACGGTTCACTTCACGATACTGCGGTCAGTGCAGTAAGCCCACTGAGGAATTTTTAGAAAAATAAGAGTACTGAATTTATTCCATGTCATAAAAAATGTCGGTAGAGGGTGCCGGAGCGTTTGGTCAGTTTCAAAGACCGAAAAGCTGGTGCACTCACATTAAATAGATTCTTCTCAACAGACATAATAAACTCTATGTGTCGGACAAAAAGAAAACAACTTATGAAGGTCTTTGACATATCCAATGAACCAAGCAAAACGATCTAATTTTATCGACGACAGATCTTCGAAGCTGACAAACCATAACTTACTTGCACCGCGTCATTACGGAAAAACAACTGACAAGTCAGTCAGTTTTCACCAACCAAACTGATATCCCTTGACCGACAAACATCTTGAGCAGAGTTCATCTTCATTTTCACGTGAGAGGTTGTCAAAACGTCACGCAACAACGCCTGTCCCTCTGAGGGCTCTCCTCAATTTGACGGTCAGACCACACAACCGACTGCTGTGGGAACACCTAGAATATAAGGCCATTTACTCAGTGGTGGCGAGTTTTTCGGTGGCGAGTCTGTTGTGGTGGCGAATTGACCGGATACCGGTCTGATATCAGCCTTACAATTTAACTCTCTTGTTATTTTGTAGTTTGTCCTACGACGTGCAATTTTTAAAGTATTCTCCAGTACTACGTATGAAGTGTTTAAATTGGCCCAGTTGTTCCTGAAGTTAAAATGTAAGAATAAGTGAGTATCTCATATGCTTCTCTGAGTTTTATATCTATCAGAACAGCGCTCATTAGTAAGTAGACAATTAATCAGCTCCATGTACAAGCCACTTGCAAGATGTTCAAACCTAAGGTAGGTTTGACCTTACACGCGGCTATTTAGTATATAGAAACATGCTGAGAAGGCTCCTTACACTTTTTTTTCTGCAAAAATATTTCAACCATAACTATAGAGGTAAATAAAAACACCAGATCTTTTACAAAAAGAACATCGTCTTAATTTTTCTCAAGCATCTTCTTAAAATTGTTCCCAGGGAAATCCGGGTCGGAGAAAATCGTTGAGTTTGAATAACCTGACGTCTGAAGAACATTACCCAGACATTAAGTCAAGACTCTCAAGAATACGACTATCACAGCTTTTTCGAGGAAAAGGTGAAGTAAAGGGAAGAATTGACCCAGAACTTGAAGTCAATCAAAGAATTGTAACATTCATCGACGACCATGAATCCAGAGGGACTGTTCGTCATATTGGTGAAGAAAAAGACTCCAATGGAAACGTTCAAAGATTCTTGGCTTGGAAATGGTAAGGCCTGTACTTATAATAATTTTGTTTGTGAATAAGAGCAGTGATAGAATATGTATTGAAGTTTAAGATTCAGTCATACGGTACTGATACCGTCTTTATATTACATGACCTAAGACGATGATGTTCTCTGAGAGGATTATCTCCTGAGCCACAAGCAAAGACTTCGGGGACGTCCATTTGAACAGGATCCGTGCAACCTGCTTTCACTATCATTTACTGATAGGTTATGTTTTATCTTCAGGAATGACTTGGCTTTTAGATTTGCTGCTTTGTGTCTCGTATTAGATTGGCAGCATTTTGGCCCGATGCCTTTAGAGAACACTTTCCCACCACTTAAGGCTGAAAAGCAGCCTTGTAAGCGCTAACATCGACTCTTTTCTCGAAGCTTTGCATGTGAGGTGTTACAGTTTTATAAATGCTGATAGCTTTTAACCACCGAAGGCAAATTAGTAAGAAAACATATAAGTTATCTATAGTATTGTTTAAAGAAAGAAGGTAAAAACTGTCTCCTGCATAGCTGCATATGTTTTCTAGTGACTTTGTGATTATCTTATAAAATAATTACGGCTATAAAATTCCTTTTTGAAATTCGGATAGGACGAAAGATTCAGGGAAGGTGGATGTGGAAGAAGAAATGGAAGACAACTATTCACTTGTGAAGATGGTTTTTCCATGTTTATTCCTGTGGAATCTGCTATGCTAGAGAGAGAGTTTGATGCTGAACCTAAAGAGTCTGAAACACCGGATGAGGAAGAGAGTTCTGAGAAATTCGATTCGCCGTCTGACGATGATTCATCAGGTAAGGAACACTAGTGTTTTGAACTTAAAGCCGACTGTGCTAGGTGAGCTGTAGAGTTATCTATGTATAAGACACAGGCACAAAACTTAATAATCAATGACTGTGACAGCAACGATAGATAAAAGCTCTCATTATCAGGGCAAAAATCACTGTTCTGCCGAAAGAATTTTTTTTTTTTTTTTTTTTACACGTCAAATACATGAACCGCTTATTACTTCCCTGGGAACTCATTTGTTCTTCTAACGAGCGTACTCGTGGTTGGTTACCTGTCATGTTACCCTTTTACAATAGAATCTTCAGTGCTTGATTAATGCTACATATCTCATTTTGTTCGATTATCTAACGCCTTGAGCATTTGGACTTCGGGCTCTGTAGATTCTGACTTATCATCATTATCTGGATATTTAACGAGCTTTTGGGTCCATATAAGATTTTTTTTGATAGATTAAATGATGCCTGGCCAGTTTAGTGCTGAGATTTACCATTTGGATTGATTCTTAGAAACGGGTCCTGGTCCTGGGGCACAGTTGGATGAAGAAACAACGCATCAAAACAATGGTATTTCGAAACAGCAAGTAAGAGGGGAACCAGAAACTTTTCTGAACAAAGCACTTCAAGAAAGTGAGAAAGAGCAAGAGAATGCATTTCAACAAAAGCAGGCTGCCGAAGAGGACTACCAAGAAGATTTTTCCATTACAGCTGTTAGATTCCACGACGGAGAGAAAGAGGAAGAGCGACGAGAGGAGAATTTTTGTTCAGGGTTAAGTAACACTGAACAGAGATTAAGAGAGGAACTTACAAGAACAAAAATTAGAGTAGTTTTGTTAAGTAATCAGCTCTCAAGAAAGCATCAGGATGCGGAAAACTTTCAGGGACAAATTCAGAAGATAGAGCAACAGTTGACAGTAAGAGACAATCGAAAAGAGAATTTTAGAACACAACTGGATAACGAGAAAAGATTGCGAGCGGAATTAAACGAAAGAGAAACGACAGAAATTCTGCTACGAAAACAGCTCAGAGAAAAGGATTGTCAAGAAGCAAGCCTCCAAAGAACACTATGTGAGCAAGAGCGGCAACTGGAAAAGGAACGAGGATTACAAGAAGAATTAATAGAAAAAGAAACAACAGAAATTCTGCTACGAAAGCAGCTCAGAGAAAAGGATTGTCAAGAAGCAAGCCTCCAAAGAACACTATGTGAGCAAGAGCGGCAACTGGAAAAGGAACGAGGATTACAAGAAGAATTAATAGAAAAAGAAACAACAGAAATTCTGCTACGAAAACAGCTCAGAGAAAAGGATTGTCAAGAAGCAAGCCTCCAAAGAACACTATGTGAGCAAGAGCGGCAACTGGAAAAGGAACGAGGATTACGAGAAGAATTAATAGAAAAAGAAACAACAGAAATTCTGCTACGAAAACAGCTCAGAGAAAAGGATTGTCAAGAAGCAAGCCTCCAAAGAACACTATGTGAGCAAGAGCGGCAACTGGAAAAGGAACGAAGATTACGAGAAGAATTAATAGACAAAGAAACAACAGAAATTCTGCTACGAAAACAGCTCAGAGAAATGGATTGTCAAGAAGCACACTTCCGGATGCAACTGAGGATGCAAAAGCAACAACTGGAGGAGAAAGTTAAGGGAGATGAAACTTTAGGAGAACAATTTCAGGAAATGGAACGCAGGTTGAAGGAAGAAATAACTGAAAAAGATGCGAGACAAGTAGTTTTGTGTGAAAAGATCTCCGAAAAGGACCAGCAGTTGACGGAGATGATACAACAATTGACAGTGACAGTGGAGCGGGAAGAAGATCTTAAGACGCAGACAAAGAATGTAGAAGAACAGCTGAGAGAGAATGAGGAGCAAGTTGAGAATTTACGAACGAACCTGAAAGATGTAGAGAAACGATTAACACAGAAAGAGGCACAAGAAGAAAATTTACGATTAAGCCTGGAGCAGATGGAGCAAAGGATGAGAGAAGAATTAACACAAAAGGAAACGAGTGAAACTGAGTTGCGCAAACAGCTTAGCGAAAGGGAGGAGCAGGCTGTTGACTATCAGAGACATTTGAGCGGGATGGAACAGCAATTGTCAGAAAAAGATGATCAAAAGGAAACTTTACTGAAACAACTTAGGGAGATGGAACAACGATCGAGAGAGGTTACAGCGGAGAATGAGATGAGAGAAAATGAGTTTCGTGAACAAACCAGAGGAGAGAGAGAGCAAGAACTGAGGGAGATGGCACGTCAGTTGATTGAGAAGAAGCAAAAAGAGGAGAACTTACGCGCGCAAATAAGGGTACACTTAATGGAACAACGGCTGAGAGAAGAAATGGAAGAAGAAGCTACTAGGCTAGTTGAACAGCTTAGAGAAAGGGATCAACAAATAGAACACTTTCAGATGCAGTTGCAAGGGCTACGTGAACAACTCAGAGAAAAGGATCAGCATTTAGCAAACGCTCGAACGCAGGTGGAGGAGCAAGAACTACTCAGAACAGATCTCCAGCACCAACTTGAAGCAATTGTAGCAGAAAATGCAAATCTCCGACAACAGGTTGTTAACCTCGAGAATCACACCGGATCACAGCCCGATGATTGGGTAATTTCCCGGGATAATATTCAGTTGACTGATAAAAACCTTGGAGTTGGAGGGTGGGGTGAGGTTTTTGAGGGCAGGTACTGTGGCTGTTCTGTTGCCGTGAAGCGAATCCATGAGGCAATTAATTCGTCTCACAACCAGAGTTTGTTCCAGAGGGAAATTGATATTGCTTCACGATGCCGACACCCTTGCTTGCTGCAGTTTATCGGAGCGACTTATGACGAGGAAATTCCACTGTTTGTTACTGAGCTGATGGAATCAAATTTGCGCGAGCTACTGGAACAACGACCTCTTTCCCGTGAGGAAATCACCGTAATTTCGCTTGATGTGGCTTGAGCGTTGAACTACCTCCACCAAAAGAAACCTTTCCCTATTTTTCACCGCGATGTTAGTAGCGGCAATGTGCTGCTGTGGCGACAGGCTAACCAGTGGCGAGGCAAAGTGTCAGATTATGGTTCTGCTAAGTTTGAGGAACAGTTCATGTCAATTGGCCCAGGATGTTTCGCCTACAGTGCACCTGAAGTGCAGATACCAGCAAAGCAGACAGCAAAGGTGAGAAAATAAGCTTACAGAATTACGTTGGAGAAGTTTTTAAAACATGAACCCTTTACAATTAAGGATTAAGCGGTACTTGTGTCTTAACTCAGTCTTAAGTCGTGTGCTCGGTTAACGCAAAACGGCAAAGTGTGCTCAGTCTACAAAAACGGCAAATTGTGCACGGTCTACACAAACGGCAGTGTGCTCAGTCTACACAAACGGCAGTGTACTCGGTCCACACAAACGGCAAATTGTGCTCCGTCTACGCAAACGGCAAAAAGCTTGTGAAAACAGCGATCTTATTTCATTGTTTCTTCTTGTCCTGCTTTTCAGATTGATGTCTACAGTTTCGGTGTTCTCCTCTGTGAAATGTGCATTCAGAAATTCCCAGAGTATCAAAACCGTGAACGTCAAATGACTCAGATGACAGACCAGGTATTGCAAGACCTCGTCCGCCGATGTGTGCGGTCAGATCCCACTGAAAGACCAGACATGACAGAGATTATCAGTACACTGGAAGAGTTCAATAAAACGTTGTAAGTTTGTAGGGGCACGCTTTTCAAAACCATTATCAGGGTTCTTTTTTTTAAGAATACTAAAGATGAAGAGTTAATCTGAGAAAAAAAAATTATTAGCTACGAGTCGCTTGTAATGCCTACGGAGGATCACGAATTTCACAAAAAATAGGCTTTGTATGCACTTAGAAACAATTGTCAAGTTTATGGATGAAGATAAATTAAGACTTACGAAAAAAATTCAACAACATTTATCCGTACATACAGCTTTGTTAAGTATTTTGTTTGAAAAGTATATAAACAAATCTTACAGTATTAACATCAAATGATGTTGTCCTCGACTCTTTGAATTATTCAAGAGTCCATTCATACTCAGTTAGTACAGTGTACGCGTTGGCTTTGTAAAGAAATGCATAAATTTTTATCATAAGCATAGAATATTTGATTGTCACCGAGTAAACTAATTTCCCCATGTGCATAAATGTAGGCGATAACTATCCAGCTACAGAGCAGTTATATTAGGCTGTAACATGCAATCCCAGAGTCTCAATCTGCAAAACACGACGAGTGAAAACGAAAAACCTTAGGGGAAAAAACTTATTAAGGAATCTTTTCCGTATAATGGTGTTAATCAATCCATTAATTTTTAATTTAAACCCCGATAGACAACAAGAAATCAGTTGCGCACTGATGGTTGGAGTAACTTTTTAGTTACAGGCAGAACTTTAAAAAGAAAATTCTTTGTATTTTAAAGGCTGAACGGTTTATGGCTCATTCAGTACAGAAACGTTTAAGTTTTTTTATTGGGTACAAATCGGTATTTATTCAAGTGTAAGCATATTTAAACCCAAAGCAATAATCTACGTGTCTTTTTGTTGGATTGATTTCAAAATAGTACCAATAACCGGGTTGAGAATGGTTCGTCCCAGTCTTGGATTTGTTCCCTCCCATATAAATGTTAAGATAAAATTTGTTGACACTTACTCGTTGATTTGTATTTGAGCTATCTGCAATTTATGGTGGTTTGAAAGCTGGTAACGTTACCGCGGTACCCTGTTTTTGTCTTGGTACTTCAGTTCAATCACATATGCTCATCATCAACTGATACAGGGTGGTGCAACTGAATCATTAGTTAAGAGTCATTAAGAGAATTAAGAGTCAGTATTCCTTTATAACATTGTAATATACCTGTACGTGTTATGGTGATAAAAAAATATATCCAATAGATCTTAATTTGCCCACCAACAATTGTTTTTCTTTTTGTACCATCTGCTCGTTCATTACTCTTGGTCTTACTTGGATGCGTTTTCCCAAGGTTCTCATGTAAACGAGTTGCCCGCGGGGTGCAAAGAAAATTGTGTACTCAGATGAGCAAACTTTTACATAAAAATTTCTGAACTCCATTATCAGGGAGGAGAAACAGAACTCCTGATGATGATGTTAGTTTGGAGAATTTGGTCTTAGATCAACTAATAATCTCCGGATTGATATTTGTGTTTATTCTTATCACTTGTCTGCATGATATTGTATCGATATTGTAAGGAGAAATTCTGTCTTGGTCACTCAGGGGCGTTACAGGATTAAAAGCCTCGCGTTGAGATTCGTCCTTCAGCAGTTTAGGAATTCATCAGCCTCTGTGTCGGGATAAATTTTGGTCACGCTAGGTAGCCGATTTATTGTCTAAAACATATATCCAATATTATTCATCATTGACGAATTTTGAATTTAAAGCTCTAGCAAAGGTGACGGCACGGTAGAAAAAGGAATAAAGTGCTCATACTATACGTAAACATAAAATGAAGGAGTTGTAGGAGGGTTGAACTTGCTGAGTGTGTCAGGTCCGGAGACAAATATGAAGAACTCAAGAAACATACTACGTCTTAAACTGATCACTAAAGATCTTTTTTCTTCATCAAAACTTATGACGAATGCGCAGAGAACCCTCTACTGACTGTCATAAAAGTCACCAGTAACTCTTGTGAATGTGATCTTTTATCAATCAATTTCTGATTCTATGCCCAAAGCCCATCTAGTTTGATCCTTCACTGACTCCTTGCCTTAGCTTAATATTTGCGTTGAAAATAAGTAATATACAAATGTTAACCCAGAAGATTAGGTAGGAGACAACTTGTTTTATTTCGGGAGCAAGTAAATTTATTTGAAACTGTGCTTGCCAACAGACATGTGCACCTCCCGACAACAACACTGGCACTGTAAGTCCATAAAGGCTCTTGGATTCACGCAATTATTAGTTCATCATAATGGCAGCATTTTTTTATGACTGCGTTACTTTGTATATACTTTATGTTATGTCCATGGGCGGAAAATCTCTTACAACAATGAGTCACGAAGTCTATGCGGACACAGCACGAACATAAATTAGTGTCAACTTTCTTTGTCGCTGGGATAACTGTACTCGTTCACATGGACGGTTGACAATAATAGCAGTCATGGCAAGAGTCACAGCTGAAGTCAATTTGACATCAAGCACAGTTTCAACTTTGTGTCGTAAAATTCAAAGTTGTTTGACATAACTCTTGCAATTTGTCACGCTACTTTTGGGCATAGCAGTTATTTACGAAGTTATGAGTCTCCGTCGTTTCTCTGAGAAAAGTCGTATCTGACACTTTTCTTATCTTCCTCATCCCGATACAGCTAACCAAGTGAAACAACGACGTAGACAGTAAAGAAGAAGAACCTTATTTCCGTTTGTCAGAGGAGCTAATTTCGCTCCTACCTAATAAAAATGGAATTAACCCTTTAACTCCCAAATGTGATTAACATGTAACTTCTCCCTGGAATATCCATACATTATCCAACAAACAGGAAATAAGAATACACAAACTAATCAGGTAGATTTTATTTTGAACTAACAACAAATTCTCAATGAGACAAGGTAATGTGTAGTAACAAGAGGGGAGAATTAACAATCAGATCTTAGGAGCTAAAGGGTTAAACGAAAGCCGGAAGGAACGGAAAAGAATCTCTCATAGGTAAATAATTTCCTCTCTTTGACAAAAGAACCTGCAAAAATATTACAAAACATTTAAGAGGGGTCGCGTGGGATAATTCGCAGTATTTGCTTGTTCAATATTCGGAAAATACTGGGCCAGCAAAGGACTAATTCGATTTGTTAATTTTATCATTTGCGCAATGAACAAGTTAGCTGTGTGTTATAGGTTGGTGTAAGACGGGCTTTTCCCCCTGCACGTACTCTACTCATACTAGATATCGATCTGGCCTTCCCTTGCTTTGCTGGCTTTATCACAAAGTGACTCCGTTGAGGGAAGTTCCTCCTCTCATGCGTTCGAAAAAGTCTCTCGCCTTTGAAAACGCGGTGAATACCTCGTCTGTTTTGTTGGTGCAGGAAAGCGAGTGCTTAGTCATATGAATGTGGAAGATCTTCCAAACGATGGTGTAAAAATCGTGTTTATGAATCCGTCTGGAAACGTGACTGTGAGAATTCCCAGAGATTCCCAAACAAAAACATTAGTGAAGAACGTTGCTACCAAACAATGGAGAGAAGCGATTAATGCGCTTTTAATGCACGAGGAAATTAAGCCTGAACTATATAAGGGAATCTCCAAGCTAGTGCCGCTCGAGTTTGAAATCTGGATGCATATTGGAGGCGCGTAATCCGGACGAGCTCGCTAGTTTTTTTCGAACAAAATTTTCATGAAAGAGGTGAGAATTTTCTGTGCTCTCTGGTTTGACTGCGTTCGAGGTGCAAGTGGTTTATCTCAGAATGCTTTCAAAGAGTGCGGCCCAGAGATAAACTCCCTCGCTTTAGCGACAGCAACGCTAGTACGCTTAAGAAACGCCAAAGCCTCTGCAGTGCACTACCGAATTTCAACCATTATGTTTCACAGTGGTGTTAAACATGACGACATGACACGTTTAAATCATTTGGGGGTATGTATGTCTCCAGATTGACAGCTACAGCTTAATCGAACCAATCAGGAACTCCGTTCGTAGGCGAATGGAGTGTGGCAAAATAATAATGACTTCGGGCAGGCGTAATCTTCACTCCCCTACCCCCACCCCTCTCCTTTTTTTGACCGTCGACCACCCCCTTGGTAAAAATTTTTCCTCTCCCCAGCCATCCGCTACCATTAAAATCAAAGATGGCGGCCATAATATTTATTCGTTAAGAAATTACTTAGCACTCGCTCGCCTAAATTACGCCTGCTCTGCAGGCTAGTTTAGTGCCATGACTGATTTTTTCCATTACAGAAACTTTCAGTGTCAGGAGTGCTGTGGTTTTACGTATGGCATCAGATTGTGACGAGAGTTTGCACTTTCACTTGCTGCGAATCGATTGTCAACAACGTGTGCATTTAATTGTTTTAGACAACTCATCATTGTGCAAGCAAAGCACAGCGTATTTTGGGAGAGATGTGATTTTGTTGTTTCTGGCATTTTCAGGTGGATCAGGGATACTGGTGTAATCATTGAAGAAGATATGGATGAAGCAAGCACTCGAGGTTATTAAACATGGACCCTCCTTCTGGGGGCCTCCCGCTATCTACAACCACAAGTTCGAAACGGTAGCCGAAAAATTCGAAGATTTATTATTAGCAGTTATCTTCTTTCAGATTACCTTTACTACAGATATGTCTATTTATTGCCCTTATTTCTGTAAATTGTTCAGTATTTTAATGAAATAGAACCATAAAAATTTCAACCTGGTGCACTCACATGAAACAGATTCTTCGCAACAGACATAATAAACTCTATGTGTCGGACACAAAGAAAACAACTTATGCAGGTCATTGACATATCCAACGAACCAAACAAAACAATCGAATTTTATCGACAGATCGTCGAAGATGACGAACCATAACTGACTTGCGCCACGTTAGTTTTACAACCATTACGAAATAACTACTGATAAACCAGTCAGTATCTATAAACCAAACTGATATCCCTTGACCGGCAAACATCTCCTTACGTGAAATTAAAATAATGATAAAATCTGCCTAGGTTGTCAAAACTTCAGGCAAAATCACCAGTTCCTTTGAGGGCTACCCCCAATTGGACGGTCAGACCTCACAACCGACTGCTGTCGAACACCAGGAATATAAGGCCCTTTACTCAGTGTTGGCGAGCTTTTCGGTGGCGGGTTTGTTGTAGTGGCGAATTGAGCGGATACCGCTCTGATATAAGCCTTACAATTTAATTGTCTTGTTATTTCCTACAATTAAAACAGGCCTTATTGTATTTTGTCATTTACCTACGTATGAAGTGTTTAAACGGGTCCAATTGTTCTTGAAGTTAAAAATGTAAGAATGACTGAGTATCTCATATGCTTCTCTGACTTTTATATGTATCCTGAAATTGTCTCCCGTATAGCTAAGTAGGTTTTCTTGTGACTTTGTGATATTCTGGTAAAAATAATTACGGCTATAAAATTCCTTTTGGAACTCCGGATAGGACGAAAGATTCAGCCGAGGTGGATGTGGAAATAGAAATGAAAGACAGCTATTCTCTTGTGAAAATGATTTTACCGTGTTTATTCCTGTGGAATCTGTTATGCTAGAGAGAGAGTCTGACGCTGAACCTGAAGAGCCTGAAACGCCGGAAGAGGACGAGAGTTCTGAGGAATTCGATTCATCAGGTAGGGAATACTAGTCTCTTAAACATAAAGCCAATTGTGCTGGGTGAGCCGTAGAGTTATCTATGTATGAGACACAGGCACAAAACTTAATCATCAACGATTGAGCAACAATAGGTAAAAGCTCTCATTATCAAGGCAAAAATCACTGTTCTACCGAAAGACATTTTGTTTTTTGTTTTTCCCACGTCAAATACATATACCACTACATCGCTGCCCTAGGAGTTCATTTGTTCTTCTACTGAGGATACTTATGGCTAATTACCTGTCATGTTACCCTTTTACAGCACTTCAAGATAGTGAAAAACAGCAAGAGACTGCACTTCAACAAACGCAAGTTGCCGAAGAGGACCACCAGGAAGACTTTTCCATTACAGCTGTTAGATTCCACGAAGGAGAGAAAGAGGAAGAGAGACGAGAAGAGAACTTTTCTTCAGGTTTAAGTGACACTGAACAGAGCTTAAGAGAGGAACTTACATGAACAGAAATAAGAGTAGTTTTGTTGAGCAATGAGCTCTCAAGAAAGCATCAGGAAGCGGAAAACTTTCAGAGACAAGTTCAGAAGATGAAGCAACAGTTGACGATGAGAGGAGATCGAAAAGAGAATTTTCGAACACAACAGGATAGGGAGCAAAGATTGCGAGCGGAATTAAACGAAAAAGAAACGACAGAAATTCTGCTACGAAAACAGCTCAGAGGAAAGAATTGTCAAGAAGCAAGCCTCCGGCGGCAACTGGGGATGCAAAAGCGACAACTGGAGGAGAAAGCTAAGGGTGATGAAACTTTACGAGAACAATTTAAAGAAATGGAACGAAGGTTGAGGGAAGAAATAATTGAGAAAGATGCGAGACAAGTAGTTTTGTGTGAACAGATCACAGAAAAGGACCAGCAGCTAATGGAGATGATACAACAATTGACAGTGACAGAGGAGCGAGAAGAAGATCTTAAGACGCAGGTAAGGAATGTAGAAGAACAGCTGAGAGAGAATGAGGATCGAGTTGAGAATTTACGAACGAACCTGAAAGACGTTGAGCAACGATTAACGCAGAAAGAGACACAAAAAGAAAATTTACGATCAAGCCTGGAGCAGATGGAGCAAAGGATGAGAGAAGAATTAGCACAAAAGGAAACGAGAGAAACTGAGTTGCGCGAACAGCTTAGAGAAAGGGAGGAGCAGGCTGTTGACTGTCAGAGAAATTTGAGCAGGATGGAACAGCAATTGTCAGAAAAAAACCATCAAAAAGAAACTTTACTAAGACAACTTAGGGAGATGGAACAACGGTCGAGGGAGGTTACAGCGGAGAATGAAATAAGATAAAATGAGCTTCGTGAACAACTCAGAGAGAGAGAGCAAGAACTGAGGGAGATGGCGCATCAGTTGACTGAGAAGGAGCATAAAGAGGAGAACTTACGCGCGCAAATAAGGATGCACTTAATGGAACAACGGCTGAGAGAAGAAATGATAGAAGAAGCTACTAGGCTTGGTGAACAACTTAGAGAAAGGGATCAAGAAATAGAAAACTTTCAGATACAGTTGCAAGAGTTGCGTGAACAACTCAGAGAAAAGGATCAGCATTTAGCAATCCTTCGAACGAAGCTGGAGGAGCGATTTAGAGAAATTGTAGCAGAAAATGCAAATCCACGACAACAGGTTGTTAACCTCGAGAATCAAGCCGGATCGCAGTCCAATGATTGGGCAATTTCCTGGGATGATATTCAGTTGACTGATAAAAGCCTTGGAGTTGGAGGGTGGGGCGAGGTTTTCAAGGGCAGGTACTGTGGTTGTTCTGTTGCCGTGAAGCAAATCCATGAGGCAATTAATTCGCCTTACGACCAGAGTTTGTTCCAGAGGGAAATTGATATTGCTTTGTGATGCCGACACCCTTGCTTGCTGCAGTTTATTGAAGCGACTAATGACAAGGAAATTCCATTGTTTGTTACTGAGCTGATGGAATCAAATTTGCGCGAGCTACTCAGACAACGACGTCTTTCCCGTAAGGAAATCACCGTAATTTCGCTCGATGTGGCTCGAGCGTTGAACTGCCTCCACCAAAAGAAACCTTTCCCTATTTTTCACCGCGATGTTAGTAGCGGTAATGTGTTGCTATGGCAACAGAGTGACCAATGGCGAGGCAAAGTGTCAGACTATGACTCTGCTAAGTTTGAGGAAAAGTTCATGTCAATTGGCCCAGGATGTTTCGCCTACAGTGCACCTGAAGTGCAGAGACCAGCAAAGCAGACAGCAAAGGTGAGAAAATAAGCTTACAGAATTTCCTTGGAGAAATTTTTTTAAAAACATATACCCTTTACAATTAAGGATCACATGGTACTGGCGTAACTTGGTCTTGAGTCGTGTGTTCGGTTAACGCAAAACGGCAAAAAGTGCTCAGTCTACAAAAACGGTACAGTGTGCTCAGTCTACACAAACGGCAAAGTGTACTCGGTTACACAAATGGCAAAGTGTGCTCGGTCTACACAAACGGCAGAATGTGCTCGGTCTACACAAACGGCAAAGTGTGTTCGGTCTACACAAACGGCAGAGTCTGCTCAGTCTATACAAACGGCATAGTGTGCTTAGTCTACACAAACGGCAAAGTGTGCTCAGTCTACACAAACGACAAAGTGTGCTCGGTCTACACAAACGGCAAAGTGTGCTCAGTCTACACAAACGGCAAAGTGTGCTCAGTCTACACAAACGACAAAGTGTGCTCAGTCTACACAAACGGCAAAGTGTGCTCAGTCTACACAAACGGCAGAGTCTGCTCAGTCTATACAAACGGCATAGTGTGCTCAGTCTACACAAACGGCAAAGTGTGCTTAGTCTACACAAACGGCAAAGTGTGCTCAGTCTACACAAACGACAAAGTGTGCTCGGTCTACACAAACGGCAAAGTGTGCTCAGTCTACACAAACGGCAAAGTGTGCTCAGTCAACACAAACGGCAAAGTGTGCTCAGTCTACACAAACGACAAAGTGTGCTCAGTCTACACAAACGGCAAAGTGTGCGCAGTCTACACAAACGGCAGAGTCTGCTCGGTCTACACAAACGGCAGAGTCTGCTCGGTCTACACAAACGGCAGAGTCTGCTCGGTCTACACAAACGGCAAAGTGTACTCGGTTACCCAAATAGCAAAGTGTGCTCGGTTTACACAAACGGCAGAGTCTGCTCGGTCTACACAAACGGCAAAGTGTGCTTGGTATACACAAACAGCAGAGTTTGCTCGGTATACACAAACGGCAATGTGTGCTCAGTCTACGCAAACGGCAAAGAGCTTGTGAAAACCACAATCTTATTTCATTGTCTTTTCTTGTCCTGTTTTGTTTTGCAAAGCAGACAGCAAAGGTGAGAAAATAAGCTTACAGAATCTCCTTGGAGATATTTTTTTAAAACATGAACCCTTTACAATTAAGGATTAAACGGTACTTGTGTAACTTAGTCTTAGGTCGTGTGCTCGGTCAAAGCAAAACGGCAAAGTGTGCTCAGTCTACAAAAACGGCAAAGTGTGCTCGGTCTAAAAAAACCTTACAAATCTTACAGTGTCAACAAAAGAGATGTTGTCCTCGACTCTTTGAATTAACCAAGAGTTCATTCATACTCTGTTAGGTGCAGTGTACGCGTTGGCTCTATAAATAAATGTATACATTTTTATCATTACCTTAGAACATTTGATTGTCACCGAGTAAACTAATTTCTCCCTGTGCATAAATGTAGGCGATAACTATCCAGCTACAGAGCAGTTATATTGGGCTGTAACATGCAATCCCAGAGTCTCAATCCGCAAAACATGACGAGTGAAAACAAAAAGAAACTTAGGGGAAAGAACTTATTCAGGAATTTTGTGTAAGCATATTTGGACCCAAAGCAATACTCTACGTGTCTTTTTGTTGGATTGATTTCAAAATAGTACCAATAACCAGGTTCAGAATGGTTCGTCCCAGTCTTGGATTTGTTCCCTCCCACCTAATATTAAGATAAAATTTATTGACACCTGGTCGTTGATTTTTATTTGAGCTATCTGCAATTTTGGGTGGTTTGAAAGCTGATACCGCTACCGCGGAACCCTCTCTTTGACTAGATACTTCGGTTCAATTACATAAAGTGAATCATTAGTTAGGAGTCATAAGGAGAATTAAGAGTCAGTATTCCATGATAACGATTTATATATCTGTACATGTTCTGGTAATTAAAAAAATGTCCAATAGATCTTAATTTGCCCACCAGCAAAGTTTTTTCTTTTTGTACCATCTGCTTGTTCATTACTCTTTGTCTTAATTGGATGCGTTTTCCCAAGGTTCTTATGTAGACGAGTTTTTCGCGGGGTGCAAAGAAAACTTTGTACTCGGATGAGTAAACCTTTACATATAAATTACTGAACTCTATTTTCAGAGAGGAGGAACAGAACTCCTGAGCTTCGCAATTTGCGTTTCAATGCTCCACCAATGAGAGTTCAGCGGTGAGATAGAAAAACCATTAGTATAGGTTAGGATGCGACAAGCGTTTTGCTTCCCTCTAAGATGATGCGCAATGCCGCAAACATTGTGTGAGTGAAAAGGACAAGAAAGCGAGGGGCATATGTTTAGTTAATTTGTCTAGTGAGGAAAGATGTTACTCGTTTTGTTACGAGAATGGAACTGTAAAACCATCTGCTTTCCTCGTGGAATGGGGCGCTTCACTTGAAAGGGTTCCTTTTTTCGTGCTTAGGGTAAACCAAGGGTCAAAAATATCTCACGAGTTAAGGTCCAGAAAATTATTCCTTGAGTGTCTCAATGGTATAAAGAACCTTGTAGCAACAGCGGACTTGCATAGCGCAAGTTTTGGGGCTGTGATTAACCCTTTCACTCCCAAGATCTCAATGGTAATTCTCCTTACTGTCTGCCGTACAATTCTTGTGATGTTATTTTGGTGAATTTGGTCTTGGATCAACTAATAATCCACAGATTGATATCTGTGTTTATTCTCATCACTTGTCTGCATGATATTGTATTGATATTGTGAGGAGAAATTCTGTCTTGGTCACACATGGGAGTTTAAAAGTAGCCGATTTATTCTCTAAAACGTATATCCAATATTATTCATTTTTGACGAATTTTGATTTTTAAACTCTAGCAAAGATAACGGCACGATAGAAAAAGGAATAAAGTGCTCATACTATACGTAAACAGAAAATGAAAGAGTTGTAGGAGGGTTGAACTTGCTGAGTGTGTCAGGTCTGGAGACAAATATGAAGAACTCGAGAAACATACCACGTCTTAAACTAATCACTAAAGACTTTTTTCTTCATCAAAACTTATGACGAATGCGCAGAGAACCCTCTACTGACTGTCATGAAAGTCACCAGTTAGTCTTGTGAATGTGATCTTTTATCAATCAATTTTTGATACTATGCCCAAAGCCCATTTAGTTTGATCCTCCACTGACTCCTTGCCTTGGCTTAACATCTTCGTTGAAAATAAGTAGTATACAAAAGTTAACCCAGAAGATTAGGTAGGAGACAACTTGTTTTATTTCGGGAGCATATAAATTTATTTGAAATTGTGCTTGCCAAAAGACATGTGCACCTCCCGAAAACAACACTAAGCTACACTAGCACTGTTAGTCCATAAAGGCTTCCCCAATATGCAATGTCTTAAGTAACTTCTACCCTGTATTTGAACAGAATTTTCTCTTGGCATGTTGGTCAGTCATAAGGCAGACGAAACAAATAATGTTCTATTACCTAATCTTACTACTGAGTCACACAGCTTACACGAGCATTCTAACAGGGAGAGGTTTGAGACAAGGTGAAACATTTGATCGTATAGTCTGATCGTCTGGGTGAGAGTAGTCTTGAAAATGTTGTAAGTTGTTATAAGCTGTGCTGCTGCGTCACTGGGAGATATTACAAGATAATTTGGTTTCATCAACGGCGTTGATGATGAAAATTGGCCACCGTAAAGATTTTCTAAAGCTGACTTTTCGAGCGTCAACCCTTCGTCAGATTAAACTAAATTTTCTGATCCTACTTCCACCAACGCAGCACCAAAGTTTTTTTTTTTAGAAAAGGTCTGTTATCGGTAAAAGTGACTGCCGTTTCGACAACCTGAGCGAAAGTCATCAACGTAGTTTTCCATCAAGGTTGCCGTTTATCATTCACTATCACAACGAGAAATCCTTTCCAGTACTACTCCCACCCCGACGATCAGACTTCCTGATCAACTAACCTATCTCCAAAATAATAATAACAGATAGAGCCTGTCTCAATTGATAAATTAATTTCTAAATTTAAACTAATTATATGAAATGAGAATAAGACTACCTTCTATCATATAAACTATGGTGTTATACAAAGAAGAACTAAAACGCTGCATGGAAATTTTATGCTCGAATGTTATTTTTCCCCTGCAGATTTACGCCATCTAATCTCGTGATTTGTACATGTACAAGTACATTACATTCACTGGAAACTCACATAAAATACTTGAGATGAATCGTTGTCTGTTTTTAGCCAACACTTTTAATCACACAAACTTCTCCACCAAAGGTTTAACCCTTAAACCCCTAAGAGTGACTAGCATGTTATTCCTCCTTACAAGACTTCACCCCTGGATAAAACATTAGGGTCGTTAGAATGAGGAAAATTATCAACAAAATGATCTTTGTTTTTGCATTGTGATGCCCAGCTTCTCGGCAATTTGGATCGCTTCTTGAAACCATTTTGCATGTTTCTCTTCTACCTTTTGGCGCACAGAAGATAACACTTTAACTACATCTCTAACTGTTAGCCCCTTAACGAACGCTAGAACTGCCTGGCGGACTGTTAAGGTAACAACGAAGTCAAAATTAGCAATAGCGTGGTAATGGCTAACCGCTATCTTATTTGAATCTGCATTCCAACTTCTTTCTGCATTTGCTTTGATGGTTTCCAGTGTTACAACGATGGCTTCATAAAGCTCCAGGAAGACCTCCAAACCATCTATACGCTGAATCCAGCGGGTCTTACAAAGATCGAGGAGCTTGTGACGGCGGGATTCAGGACAGACGTCTTTCACTTTCTGGACAAGGAGAGCCTCTTTCTCCGGGGAGTACTCAAAGGATCTAGTTACCTCTCCAACGGTATCAAACATATTTCGAACATTCTGCATCTTGCACGCACTCACAACAGAAAGGTTTAGGCGGTGAGCCATACAATGAGTGTATATAGCCTTTGGATATTGCCATCTGACAATGGCTGCTGCACCATTACAAGGTCCTGACATGTTGCCTACACCGTCATAACACTGTCCCTTGAGGTAATCCATAGATAAGCCAGGTTCTTGAACGGCCTTCACTATAAGAGTGGTTATAGCTTGACCAGTGACGCCGTCTTCACACTCGTAGAACCCAGCGAATTCTTTTCTGACATTTCTTGCTTTGTCGACAAACCTTAGAAAAAGTGGTAGTTGTTCCTTGTTACTGCTGTCACTTGCCTCATCCGCCAGTATGGAAAATTCACCTGCTTCATTGATATCTGAAACGATCTTGTCTTAGATGTAAGTGCCTAACACTTCTACGATTTCATTTTGGATCGTCTTAGAGCGGTATATTGCATTTCTTGGGCCGTTGGCAAAATGATTTGCTAGCACCTTATTACCAGATTTTGCTCTGAAATTTATCAGTGCTTGAAAGTTTCCTAGGTTGCCTGAAGCTTCGTCTATGTGTGACGAGTCATCTCAGTGGCCTCGTAATGCTAAGTTCTGACTGCCACAAAGCATAACAGTTTTTATGACAGATCGTAACTTCTGTCTGTTAAGTTCGACAGTGTTACGATAAATATCACTGAGCTGCTGTGAGATAGACGGCATTTTCCCTTCCTGTGCCCGAAGGAAATCCTCTGCGCAACCAACCGCTGCCTTGTAAAATTCGGAATTAAGCTGGCGTTCCTTGAACTTCGTGCTTGCGGATACTCAGTTCTTTTAAGGACTCTTTTATACTTTGTCAAGGCAGTCACTGTTCTTTCCTATCTGGTGTCCAAACAAAATACAAAGGCTGCAAAACGCTCCATCCCGAGCCGCAGAGTTGACCAACCACAAAACTGAGTAAGCCACTCGAAACAAAATGCTCTGATCTTTCCATAAAAATGGGTTTTAGGGAAATTGTAGCTTCTAGGTGGTGTCCAAGAATTTTTTAGGAGTTCTAGCTTTCGGTCATCAGATGGTGACTGTGCTATGGTATAGTACAATCCCAAATCGTTAACGTGTTTGGTAGAATTCTCCAACGGTATGCTGGTATCAGCATCCGTTGTGGTGGCTGAAAGATATAGACAAAGAGGCTTTTACAATTTATGCTAAGTTGGTTAGGTGATTTAATCATTTAAATATTGCACTTGAAAAATCGGTTTGATAATAACATCCAAACATATAACAATTATTTAGTGCAATTTTTTAATATATGTAAAATAACTCAATTATGGAATTATAAAGCAACTTACAGTGTCTTTTAAAAACTCTACTATCATATAAATAAGGAAACATCACATTCTGACGCCAGAAGACGGCATTCTCTTTCATCGGCACTATTAGACAATTCCATAACTTGTAGATTTTTGCACCCATCCACAATAAATCTAACATCAATCGGTGACGGCGTTATTCCTTTTACATAGAAGGAAAACCACGAAGGCAAAGAAACTGCCAATTTAACAGCTTCATTGGAACAAAGCTTTGTTCAGTTCGTAGATAAAATGTTAATTTTACTCATTCGTTTTATTATGGACTCGCTGAAACTATTTTCATCAACATATAAGCGGTCATTAAGAATTAGCACTTCAAGACCAACAGCTTCATACTTTTGGTTTGGTAAACAATTTAAGGTCGTATTGTCTGACCGCTTAAATCTAAGTGTGTCAGCTTGTGAGCTACTCGTAAACGGTTTTGTAGTATCTCATTTAACATGGACTGGGATACTTTGACGTCGACATAAGACATAGAAAAATGCGAAAAAGCCCTGGAGTATGAAACAATGTTCAGAAACTGAGCTTCGGTCAAATGATAAACGTTCCATTTATCAAGAGGTAGACTATGCCAGAGGCCATCTGTCTGTGAAATGTTCCACCATCTCTTTGAAACCTTGCTTAAGGTTCCGACAATTTCCTTTAGGCCAAAATGCCTAAAAACTGCTACAAGCAGTTCATCCGGTAGGGCTGTACAAATCAGAAAATAAAATCTTGATCACGTTTTTACTCTTTATTTACCCGTAAATTGTTGTACAATCATGAAGACACATTTTATATGTCTAACATTAACAATAATTCTTACTGGTCAGTCAGACTAGTTCGCTAGCTGTTTTAAAAACTACATAATCTGAGAATTAGTTAGATATCCTAACAACCAGGTTGCCCTGACATCATTACTTTTGGCACCAAAGCTCGGGTGAGCTGGAAACGAAAATTAAAAAGTTCCCAGCGGGAATAATCAATTTGTTTTCCTAATAAGCTTTTCTTCTTGCTAAATCTAAAAACCAAACTCAACGTGAAAACAGGAGGTGATTTATATCGGCGAATTCTTGCACAAATCTAATGAAAGCTAGCTAGGTCTACATATGTATAAGCTTCAATACACATCTGATATTCTTTGGTTCGATTTTACCTTCAATCTCTAGTGATGTTTGACTTACCTCAGAAGACCTCGGTTGCTTGGCGGCGGGACGGTCATTACTCACAACCTCTACAAAAAAGACGATTTTCCATAAATATCACTTCAAAAGCTGAGTATTATATTTCGAATTGTGTAATCAGCGGGCCAGGAAATCTTAGGTCATCTTAGAAATGTGTTATACCCTCCAGTCCAGACAATCGATCTGTGTTTTCTCTTTCTTCATCTTCATTGCCAGAACGAGTTTCCACTGCAAAGATGAATTATTTGTTCAAAAAATAAAAAGAGGACAAATTTCAACCCAGACAAACATGTCTGGGTATCACGTCAGCTAGGCGTGTGCATACCGAACGAAAATAACTTTTCAGTATAAATTAATTTGTCCACCCTCAACGATTATTAACAAAGACCCGAACTCATCTTTTTCCCGGAAGTAGTCAGTAATTTGTGACATCTTGACGTTGTTATGTATTCCACACTCTTGTTGAAGTCGTTGTCCAAAGACGTTGAATGATCATACAAGCTAACCGAGTAGCAGAATTGCACAAATCGCCTGGGGAAATCTAATTTTGGTCCAGACGCCCGCGGCGATAATGTGATGGCGTGACCGCCGTCCGGAAACTAGTGATTTCCCGGCCGTAAAATTTTGCCGCCAGAACGTGTCTATGACCCCTGTCTACTTCTGGTAATTGGCAAAATGAATAAATAAAAAATAAATGTCAAAATATTTCCGAGATTCAACTTGCAGTTTACTTTTATTAAAAATATATACATATCTATTTTTTTTTATTATGAAAATTCTGACCGATTTCCGTAAAATAGTAGAAACCGGTATGGATCCGCGCCTGAGGGACAGGAGACTACACAGTTTTTTGGAGATACGATGTTTTTAAATTTAAAGGGACGATTGGTACCCACACTCTCCGGTCTGATCTCTTTGATGAGGCCTCGCTCTCACAGATCCAATCAAATATGATACTAACTGTATTTTGCTTTGATGTTCAAATTTCTTTGGAGTAACCTGATTTATCACTAAAACGAAACACATACCACTGAAGTTCTGTTTCTTTAAGAAAATGAGGAAATACGGTTCAGTGCATAAAATTGCTCAAATTTTAACACTGATTTCATACTGAGACTGATAGAAATGGGATATTGATAAATTCGCCAATGAGGAATGCTCAGGAATCTTTTTTGACATCTGATACTTAAGTAGTTTTCCCCCGCATGGACGGGCTTGTCATTAAGAGATACTTACACTCTTCAGTTCCAAACCGAAAAAGGTTCCAACTTTAGACGGCAAGTCACACTTGTACTTCACGATAGCACTCCAAGGGCATTCTGCAACGGGGACAAGCACTTCCGTTCCCGGCTGAAGACGTCGCCCAAAAACAACCATTCCTTGCGGACTAAGTACTTGATACCTTGATTCAGGTGAAGTGCAAGGCAAAAGTAAACTAGCATCTTCGTTTGAGAGTCTGATAAATGCTTCTTTGCTAATGGATGGCACTATTATCCGCGTTTTATACTCTCCTTGGTAGACAGGGACAGATATTTCCACTTTAAATTCGTATAAGCTTGATAAAGCTTTCAATCACTCTCCCTGCATCAGTTTCTGAAATGGATCAAAGCGGACGATGTAGTACTCAGAGTGTTTATCTCGGAGTTTCTCCTTCTGAACATTGTCGATTTCCATTCTGTACCTTGCGGAGAGAATTTTTGATTAGTCTGGTCGTACGGTGTGAAAGCGAAATTAGCTCCTCTGCGAAACGGAAATAAGGCTCTTCTTCTTTACTTGCTACGTCGTTGTTTCACTTAGTTGGCTGTATCGGGATGAGGAGGATAAGAAACTCATGAAAAGTGTCAGATACGACTTTTCTCAGAAAAACCATGGAGATTCTTATATAACTTCGTAAATAACTGCTCTGCACAAAATAAGTGTGACAAATCGAAAGAGCTACGTCAAACAACCTTGACCTTTACGACACAATTATTGTTATTTACTGAAGTGTTTTAACGGATAAAAATTTACCTGTGATTAAACATGTTGAAACTGTGCTTAATGTCAAATTGACTTCAGCTGTGGCTCTTGCTATGACTGCTATGATTGTCAAACATCCAAGTGAACGAGTACAGTTATCTCAGCGACAAAGAAAGTTGACACTAATTTATGTTCGTGCTGTGTCCGTACAGACTTCGTGACTCACTGTCGTAAGAGACTTTCCGCCCAGGGACCGTAACATAGAGTGTATAAAGTAACGCAGTCATAAAAAAATGCTGCCCTTATGATAAATTAATAATTGCGTGAATCCGAGGGTCGGATCTGCTGTCAACTCCTCATTTAACCTTGTAGTTGTCGTAAATTGCATTTTGGTTAAACACCATGGAAGAAACATTTCAGTTCTGGCCCACCTTATCATAAAATCCCCAACGAAATAAGCCCCAGCATTTCGTCACTTATTTAAACGAGACTCTGTTGCATTTGGAATGCTATAATAATAGCGGACTGTGTATTGAGGGTAGCCCTAGGAAAAATTTTCTCGATCAGACGCCCCTTCTTTCTGTCGAAGACTAACATGACTTTTGTCCACAATCTTGAGGTAAGAGGGTCTCGATGGGGTTAACCATTAGCCGTAAAACGGCATAAGTTTGTTGAGCCTTTAGAGGTAAAACTGACGAAATTTAACGGTTCGACGTAAAAACAGTGAACTTTAAAAGTTTTCCTCGTAACCTCAACGAAAAGAAGTAAACCGCAAGCCGTAAAATGTCCATAATTTTAACCGTTCGCCGTGAAAGCCAACACCGCAATGAGAGCCTCAGTTAAGAGCCGTGAACTTTCTTGAAAGCGCTACAAATTCCGTACAAGCCTGAATCTTTTTCAGGCTTTATTTTCTCTATTGCTCAAGTAGTGTTCATTACTACGAAGATCACTTTCATATTCAAGTCTTTATCCGCAGTTCAAACATGTGACTTTCATATATTCATAGTCGTTTATTTACAATTTCACGGGTTTATTTGGAACCAATATAATGACCAGCTCACAATTCGCTTGTTAGCTCAGTTGATAGAGCGCTGCATCGGTATCGCAGAGTTCATGGGTTCAAACCCGTACAGGCTTGAATCTTTTTCAGGCCTTAGTTTCACGACTGCTCAAGTAGTGTTCATTACTACGAAGATCCCTTTCATATTCACGTCTTCATCCGCAGTTCAAAAATGTGACTTTCATACATTCATAATCGTTTAAAAATAACTTTGTTCGTAACTACGTTCGTTCCCGCGAGATGTCGTTGATTGATCCGAAAAACAAAACAAAAGGGAAGTCAACTTCCTGTGTGCATTCAGAACTCGCCTCAATTACATTTCCTTCCCGCTGGGACAAAAGGTATTTCGTGACAAGAGCTTACGTTAGTTATTAGATTACTTAAGAAGTTCCGAATGCCTGAAGGTGGCGGTATGATTCAAAGTATATTTTGGGCGGAAAATGCTTCGCCTTACAACTATGTAGATTTATTTGTGACGAGTGGCAGTTTTATCTCCCAATCTCTCCGTTGAATATTGAGTGACTCTTTTGGAAAGTCTAGAATTAACAGGTAGCGGCCGGTCGTCACAAATGACTTCATATTCACCCAACAGATCACCTTGATACTTTGCTGCGTTTCATTTTGAAGGTAAGATGTTTTAGTCATGCATTTAATGTTTTCGAACTAAATGATTTTCAGCTGCGCAATTCACACACCGAACTGTTTAAATGAATAGTTGAACTTGAATGACTACCTTACATCGAAGGATCGTTTTGGAATTGCTTAACCCTACTCATTTTGTTGTGGTAGAAACTGCACGTGTCAAGCAAATATGCTGGAGAGCATTCGAGTTCTACTCAGGGTGATTTGAATGTAGTATATGTTAATAAAAATTTGGTAGTCAAATTCAAACGATTATTCGGCTGGCGTGTGAAAGAACCAAATCTCTTTTCTAAGGGGGTGTATTATGACATAATACGACGTTTCGAAGTCGCGTAGTACAACCACAGGCCACCCAAGCTCACGTCTCGAGAAAAAACCCACGATTAATTCATGAAAGCGTTACGCGTTGTGTGACTCGGTGTTCAGTTACGAGGAACCGTTGAAAATTTGAACACGTTATAAGGAATAGTATGGAGAACGAAATAGGGTCGATTTACAACGATAAATATTTCGAAATAGGAGGATTTTACGCGTAAAATCAATAAAACTTACTCACATTCTGTGTGTCCGTTGTAGTTTCTGGCGATTTCTGCTGTTTTAAGCTTGTTTTACCATCACTGTTATTCCTGTCAAAAGACGACGTGAAACTAAAAGGTGAAACTAAAACAGATAAACAACGGACAAAATTTGAATATTATGTGGCGTTTGCTGTGAATACTTGAGCTTGATTATTTTCGCTAAAATGATATCAAAGGGGAAGAGATGCGGTGAAACTGACCGCGAAACGAATCAGAAGAGAGTTAAGAGTGGCAAGTTTCAAGATGAATATTCTAAGATTTTATTCTGGGAACTTTAGGGATGGATCATTCCTTTTAAAATCACGGGCAAAAAGCTCACATTAATAGAGAACAAATTTTCAAGTGCAAACCTAGGATAATCCAAGCTTAAGTGCTCACAGGAGACCCCACAGAATAATGAAATCTTGTCCGTTGTTTATCTGTTTTAGTTTCACCTCGCCGTCTGATTGGTTGATCAGGACACGCCTGTGGTAATGTTTGCATGGATAGCACAATACTTGGGATCTGAGGGCACATGGCGGTTCGATAAGTTATATCTATGTTATGCATTACAATAAAAATACTTAGAACTAAAGCTGTATGATAAGGAAAGATCCCTAAAGTACAAAGATCAGAAAATTCTTGTAAAAAGAAAATCAACCTTTAAATAATTGTGAAGGAAACCGTTATTTCACCAGTTTCTTGAAATTGATGAGACAGCTAAGCTTCTACCATAATTTTTTAAGTCTTTCTTTAAATCTGATGGCCCTCAAAACAAAAATAAATGGTCCAGTTCATTTTATGGGGCAATAGTAGTAAAAATATCTCTTCCAAGTTGGTGCCCTTATTTTGAAGCCATGCTTTGATTAAACATTTAACACAGGAAATAGTATCATGGCTATCATCGATGCTATGATAGTGGAAACTGGAAACAAGTCCTTGGAAATCTAGAGGGGAAACCTGAGACATAGTTGGGTATTTCACTTGTTGACTTGGTTAAAGGGATGAATCCAGGAAGGTAAAACTGTTGCTTAAGGGATAGGGATTTAATATTACTGATTAAATAAAACTGAAACTCAATTATAGTACCTTGTAAAACTACATATATGCCCATTTTCTGTAAAATCATAATTGTTTAATTCCCATGTATGGTTTTGTGTTTGGGCAGTCTTAAGTCTAAAGGCCATAATGGTTCATGGTTAGGTGTGAGACAATTTGCAGACAAATTAAAGGTGAATTTACTTTGTGCTTAATGGAATAAATCCTTAAGTGTTCTCATTTTTCTTTTGTGCATTGGAATACAATTGAAGTCTTCATGTATTGATGCTTCTGGTAATAAATCTGAATTATTTTTCTTCTTTTCTTGTTTTTAAAGAAATGGGAACCAGTGGAGAAGGGACCAAATTTCAGTGCAAGGTCTGACCAATGTTCTTGCAATTTTTACTGATATTGCCAATTTATGGGTCAAATTCCCCCTTTTCCTAAGTTTCTGGAAATAGTTTTAACAATGTTTTGTTTACTTTTAATTCAAAGCTTGTAGGGATAACAGATGTCGCTAGCCCAGAGGGTATGGATATGTGTGCAGAGGCTTTTGGGAAATTAAAGGTGCAGTGTATCTGTTCATGATTCATGTTGATTCATGAACTTTAATCAAAGCTCAAATTTATTTTTTACCATAATGGCAATTATAAGTTGTTATATTTCTAAAACACAACTTATAATATGCTATTATTATTGTTATTCCTTGAACATGCCACCATAATACTGCCTGAATTGCATATTATAACCTAACAGTAAGTGCTAAAACTTTTCAGTATACTTACCACAAGCAAGTCTGCCAATATAGCAAATTGATACTGCCTAATTGATCATGAAAGCTTGTCATAAACTGCCGTTCATTCAGCCCAATTTGGTACTTGGCCCCTTCTCTACCGCCTTACCCCAATTCACAGCAATATCTTTTGCTTTTCCCTCTGGTAACATAGTAATCCTCTTAGTCCTGGAATGCTGACTGGTAATGATGTCTGTGTTTTATTATTGTTATTATTAATATTATGATTGTTACTTAAACTAGACTCAGGCAAAGAAAAAGTGGCTGCACAAAGAGAGGGTGACACTGACTGTTATAAGTTTGGAAGGTATCAGGATTGAAGATGAGACTTCTCAAGTAAGTGTGCAAATAATTCAAATATTATTTAACCACCTTGTGATCACCATAGATACAGGACATATAAGCTGCACCCATGGGTGTGCAACTTAAATTTTGGTAAAGGGAGTTTTTTTTTTCCAAAATTGGGAAATTAAAATGCTAAGTAAAACTATGCAGTATATTTCTATCTCTACATCTTATCCAATATATTTTGTTTGATTAATATCAGTATTTGGGCAACTGCCCACCTACCCCTCCCCTAACCCAACATTAACCTGAACTTGTTATCAATTGACTGTTGTTGAGTTAGGGGAGGGGTAGGTGGGCAGTTGCCCAGATACTGATATTGATCCATTTTTTTATTTTATCAAAAAAAAAAAAAAGGAATAAGTTAACTCTTAAATCTCATCAAAATACTGCTTTCACTTTTCCCATCTAATCGTTAAAGAGAATTTTCAAGGGGCAGTATATGGTTCAAATGTTTTGTTACATGTTACAGTACATTTTCTTTATCAATTTACCCATTGAAATATCTATTTATTTACTTATTTATTCATTTATTCACTCAAGTCAAAAATAACTGGAGAGTACTGAACAAAGGAAGGGCTAAACAACAGAAGGGAAAGATTCAATGAAATCTCCAGGTGCCCTTTCCATCTCAGTGCTTTTTGAGTTTTTTATAGGTTTTACTGATTTTTTTTTTGTTTTAGAAAGTGAAGCATATGCATCCTGTCAAGAGAATAACATTTGTCATTCCTGACCCAGATGATAGGAAAATATTTGGTTATGTTTTCAGTCAACCTGATTGTTCCACTGGACATAAATTTTATGCCCTGAAGTCAGAAAATGTAAGAGGGACTAAAAAAAATTGTTTGCTTTGTTAAATGAAATACAAAAAATGCATTGGCTAGTTGTAGGAGACGTGATGCATGGTCTTGGTTTGAGACATGTCTTGTTCACTGTGTTGTGTTACTATTGGGATCTGATGTCTCACACTCGCAATGTCTCTCTCTGCTGAGGAACATATGGAGGTATATCAAAACTGCTAAAGAATTAACTTAGCATTAATCCTCACCCTGGCTGAATTAACATTTAACCAAGGTAAGGATGCATACAGTGCCCCTGGTTATGTCATATGCTCATGAAAGTGGAATGAGCATCTGGATCAAGCTCCAGAAGCAAGGGCTATGGGCTTAACAGCAGACTAATCTTATAACCAGTAACTAATAGTTGGTTTCAGTTATACATATGTCATCACACTTTATAAGGAAAAGGTATGCAAGTCTACTGTCTACTGTTCAAAGAGATACACAAAGAAATGTATTTCATATCAAATTATGACAATACAAATGGAGATACAAATTAATTCTGAGTTATCTAAAAATAAAACTGATGTCCTTTTCCTACATTCTCTTTTTTGTATGACATTTGGATTCAATTTTTTAATAATTGAAGGGAATTTCTAAGTCAGCAAAAAAAGTTTCAAAAATTGAGCCACCCAAAAATTTCCTGTTTCAGTTAATTTATTGCATGTGTTTTTGTGCCTTTTTGAGAGTAGCATTTCCTGTTGAGAAGAAATCATTGAGGAGAAAAATTTTTGTCTGGGAACAATGCAAATTGTATCTTGTTGAAGAGGAAAAATACTTTAAATCTACTTTACAATAGTGCACTTTGATTTGAAGGCTTGTAAGACTTCTCTGCAAATTCTTAGTCTCCAATTCATATATGCGAATAAACATTTTCATAACATTTAATCTCAAATATTGCCCATAAGTACTCACAAGTATTAATTATTCTAAGCATGTGTTATTATTTCTTTCAGGCAAAGGTCATAGTTGATGCCATTATTGAACTTTTTGTGGAATCAGTTAATCTTAGACAAAGGGCTGGATTAGCAAAGGAGCAGGTCCCCAGAAATTCATCAAATGGTACTGACTGCAGAACCATTGATTTTGTTGAATGATTATAACAACTGTAAGAAGGCTGTTCCACAAAAATAAGCGTTTAGAAATAACTCGTATGTACTGGTCCCATCTTTATATTTTTATTTTAAAGCTACCATGATATATGCTATATTGTATGATGTTATAATAGTGTGTTCATTAGAAAGTAAGTTTGTTATTGACTGACAATGACTGATAAGTTAAGGGAATTTCACTCTTTCAACGATCCTACTAATCATTACCTTCTCTTTTGATGAATGAGGTGATTCTTAGGCAAGTACTCTACTCGACTTGAGTAGAGTCCTGCCTCATTTTGCATCTGAGTGACGTCATCCGTATCATAATCACTAGCAGTTCAGTGTAATTTTTTTTCCAATGAAGAAGTCCACTCTTTTCTACTTTTCCAGTCTGCTCTCTTAAGCTTTTAACACGAACTAAACGTGCGAGAGATTCCTGTTATCTTACTGTCATAAACTGTACCTTTTCGTAGAGGAAAGTACGCCAGATAAACAACACATGTCTCTACTATGTGGAACTTTTTTTAAAAATGGTAAGCTATAGTGAGCAGCACTGCACGAGCTAAAATAGGAATAACTTGGTTCTTCCTGTAATTCGTACTCGTGGTACATGAAAAATGCACTCGTTTTCCGCCAATCAGACGCGCTTAATTTTTTCATGCATAACATTATTATTAATAGCATTAGCTCATTTTGAAGACAACTTCCGTTTGGTTCGGTCATAGTCTTGTATCCAGACCTTTCACGGCCAAATAGTTGAAAGGTCCCCACATTTCAGTTACGGTTAAACGGTAGAATCTGGATACGAGATTAGTTCGGTCAGTCTTTTGAATCTCTAATCGCGGTTAGTAGTAACTGGTTGGCACGCACTTTTACTAAGATAGAGGTCATTTGCATGCAGCCGAGGATCTTCTTCCGCTGAGCCCTTGCTTATGTAAATACGCAGTACGTTTAGAGAGCCAACATTTTTTTTTGGCTGTGTGCTACTGTGTTTATTTTTTGTTTTTTTTTTTTTAATTAAAAAAAGAGTAATTCTATGTTTGCGTATAAAGTGTTATGTTGCTCGCACCAATCAGATCGCCGCGTTAGGATTTGTATCTCGCACCAATCAGATTGCCGCATTAGGGTATTATCTCGCACCAATCAGATTGCTTCATTAGGGTATGTTCCTCGCATAATCATATGACAGCATTTGAATATCTTGCACTAATCACAGCGTTTGGTATTGCTTTGTTATAAATGATGTCATGGATCAGGGAGCTGTCCACAAAAAATGACATAAACCAGAAATTTTGGGCTTATTTGTTAAGTGTAATGGTTTGTGGCCTTCGCGAGAGCCTCGTCGATTAAGGTCGAGAATAATCGGGATATGAAAGGTTCGCATTTAAATTTTTAATTTAACTCGTGAGCGAAATCTCTTTCGCAACCGTTATTTGGTCTCGTCACGCAGTGGCTCTCCCTTCAATGGGGAATAGAGGGCGTTGAATGACAAGACCAAGCGACGGCTGCGAAGGCGGTTATAGTAAGCGTGGCACTGATGCATTTTATTTTTGCTCAGAACTAGTTAGAGAGTAGAGACAATAGACCACAAAATACCTGTGTGAGTTTGCATAAATTATGTTTTTTATCTTTCTCTTAAAGCGAAGTAATGCGATATTTTCGTTCTTCTGAAAGTTATGAAAATATTAAAAACACAAAGTGTACCATTTCGACCTACTCAACTGAAAAAAATAATTCTCGCATGTTACACATGCCTATGTTTTCTTTTTCCCACGAGAATGTCTCAAGTGGGTGCTGTGGTGAATTCGGTACATTTCTTGACTTCCAGAAGTAAAAGAAATTCTGTCGATTTTTTTCGCTAGAGAACCAGACCGAGCAACAAGAAACGAGAGCTCGTTTATCCAACTTGCAGGAACAGCTCAGGGAAAAAGATGACCAGTTGCGAGAGAAGGAAGGGATAAATCTAAACCTGCAAACTCGCTTGAATACAGAAAATCAACAACTGGAAGAGAAAATTAGACAGGAAGAGAATTCAAACCAAAAACTGCGAGCAGTGGAAGAGCAGATTTCACAATCTCAAGCACAAGCAAGGGAGAAAGAGTTGGAAAAGGCCAACTTGCTAAAGGAAAGAGATCGCCAAAGCGGAAACCTGCGTGCGATGCAGCTGGAGAGAAAAGAGCAACGGTTAGTTGAATCGGAATTGGGGGAAAAAGCTAAGGGTGATGAAACTTTACGAGAGCAATTTAAGGAAATGGTACGAAGGTTAAGAGAAGAAATAACTGAGAAAGATGCGAGGCAAGAAGTTTTGTGTGATCAGAACACAGAAAAGGACCCGCTGTTGAAGGAGATGATAAAACAATTGAAAGTGATGATACAACAATTGACAGTGACAGAGAAGCGAGAAGAAGATCTTAAGACGCAGATAAGGAATATAGGAGAACAGCTGATAGTGAAAGAGGATCGAGTTGAGAATTTACGAACGAACCTGAAAGATGTTGAGCAACGATTAACGCAGAAAGAGGCACAAGAAGAAAATTTACGATCAGACCTAGAGCAGATGGAGCAAAGGATGAAAAAAGAATTAACACAAAAAGAAACAAGAGAAACTGAGTTGCGTGACCAGCTTAGGGGAAGGGAGGAGCAGGCTGTTGACTGTCAGAGACATTTGAGCGGGATGGAACAGCAATTGTCAGAAAAAGACAACCAAAAGGAAACTTTATTGAGACAACTTAGAGAGATGGAACAACGATCGAGAGAGGTTACAGCGGAGAATGAGATGAGAGAAAATGAGCTTCGTGAACAACTCAGAGAGAGAGAGCAAGAACTGAGGGAGATGGCACATCAGTTAACTGCGAAGGAGCAAAAAGAGGAGAACCTACGCATGCAAATGGATGGAATGGAACAGCAATTGTCAGAAAAAAACAACCAAAAGGAAACTTTATTGAGACAACTTAGAGAGATGGAACAACGATCGAGAGAGGTTACAGCGGAGAATGAGATGAGAGAAAACGAGTTTCGTGAACAACTCAGAGAGAGAGAGCAAGAACTGAGGGAGATGGCACATCAGTTAACTGCGAAGGAGCAAAAAGAGGAGAACTTACGCATGCAAATGGATGGAATGGAACAGCAATTGTCAGAAAAAAACAACCAAAAGGAAACTTTATTGAGACAACTTAGAGAGATGGAACAACGATCGAGAGAGGTTACAGCGGAGAATGAGATGAGAGAAAACGAGTTTCGTGAACAACTCAGAGAGAGAGAGCAAGAACTGAGGAAGATGGCACATCAGTTAACTGCGAAGGAGCAACAAGAGGAGAACTTACGCGCGCAAATAAGGATGCACTTAATGGAACAACGGCTGAGAGAAGAAATGATAGAAGAAGCTACTAGGCTAGGTGAAGAGCTTAGAGAAAGGGATCAACAAATAGAAAACTTTCAGATGCAGTTACAAGGGCTACGTGAACAACTCAGAGAAAAGGATCAGCATTTAGCAAACGTTCGAACGCAGATGGAAGAGCAAGAACTGCCCAGGAAAGATTTTCGGCACCAACTTGGAGAAATTGTAGCAGAAAATGCAAATCTACGACAACAGCTTGTTAACCCCGAGAATCAAACCGGATCACAGTCCAATGATTGGGTAATTTCCCGGGTTGATATTCAGTTGACTGGTAAAAGCCTTGGAGTTGGAGGGTGGGGCGAGGTTTTCGAGGGCAGGTACTGTGGCTGTTCTGTTGCTGTGAAGCGAATCCATGAGGCAATTAATTCGCCTCACAACCTGAGTTTGTTCCACAGAGAAATTGATATTGCTTCAAGATGCCGACACCCTTGCTTGCTACAGTTTATCGGAGCGACTGATGACGAGGAAATTCCATTGTTTGTTACTGAGCTGATGGAATCAAATTTGCGCGAGCTACTGGGACAACGACCTCTTTCGCGCAAGGAAATCACCGTCATTTCGCTCGATGTGGCTCGAGCGTTGAACTACCTCCACCAAAAGAAACCTTTTCCCATTTTTCACCGTGATGTTAGTAGCGGCAATGTGCTGCTATGGCGACAGGCTAGCCAGTGGCGAGGCAAAGTGTCAGATTATGGTTCTGCTAAGTTTGAGGAACGGTTCATGTCAATTGGCCCAGGATGTTTCGCCTACAGTGCGCCTGAAGTGCAGAGACCAGCAAAGCATACAGCAAAGGTGAGAAAATAAGCTTACAGAATTTCCTTGGAGACACTTTTTAAAAACATGAACCCTTTACAATTAAGGATTAAACGGTATTTGTGTAACTTAGTCTTAAGTCGTGTGGTCGGTCGATGCAAAACGGCAAAGTTTGCTCAGTCTACATAAAACGGCAAAGTGTGCTCAGTCTACACAAACGGCAAAGTATGCTCAGTCTACACAAACGGCAGAGTGTGCTGGGTCTACACAAACGGTAAAGTGTGCTCAGTCTACACAAACGGCAAAGTTTGCTCAGTCTACACAAACGGCAAAGAGCTTGTGAAAACAACAATCTTATTTCATTGTCTTTTCTTTTCCTGCTTTTTAGATTGATGTCTACAGTTTCGGTGTTCTCCTCTGTGAAATGTGCATTCAGACATTCCCGGATTATCAAAACCGTGAACGTCAAATCGCTCAGATGACAGACCAGCTATTGCAAGACCTCGTCCGCCGATGTGTGCGGTATGATCCCATTGAAAGACCAGACATGACAGAGATTATCAGTACACTGGAAGAGTTCAATAAAACGTTGTAAGTTGTCGGGGCATGTTTTTTTTAAACCATTATCATTGTCAATTATCAAGTTTATGGATGAAGAGAAAGCAAGACTTAAGAAAAAAACTTCGAAATTCAACAACATTTATTCGCACATACAGCTGGGTTAAGTATTTTGTTAGAAAAGTATATAATCAAATCTCACAGTGTCAACATCAAATGATGTCCTCGACTCTTTGAATTATGAAGAGTCCATTCATACTCAGTCAGGAGCAGTGTACGTGTTGGCTTTATAAAGAAATGCATAAATTTTTATCATAACCGCAGAACATTTGATTGTCACCGAGTAAAATAATTTCTCCGTGTGCATAAATGTAAGCGATAACTATCCAGCTGCAGAGCAGTTATATTAGGCTGTGACATGCAATCCCAGAGTCTCAATCTGAAAAACACGACGAGTGAAAACAAAAAAACCTTAGGGGAAAGAACTTATTCAGGAATTGTGTGTAAGCATATTCAGTTTGGACCCAAGGCAATACTCTACGTGTCTTTTTGTTGGATTGATTTTAAAATAGTACCAATAACCAGGTTCAGAATGGTTCGTCCCAGTCTTGGATTTGTTCCCTCCCACATAATATCAAGGTAAAATTTGCTGACATTTAGTCGTTGATTTGTATTTGAGCTATCTGCAATTTTTGGTGGTTTGAAAGCTGATACCGCTACCGCGGAACCCTGTTTTTGTCTAGGTACTTCAGTTCAATCACATACGCTCATCATCAACTGATACAGGGTGGTGCAAGTGAATCATTAGTTAAGAGTCATTAGGAGAATTAAGAGTCAGTATTCATGTATAACATTGTAATATATCCGTACATGTTATGGTAATTTTAAAAAAATGGCCAATAAATTTTAATTTGTCCACCAGCAAATTTTTTTCTTTTTGTACTATCTGTTCGTTTACTACTCTTGGTCTTATACTTAGATGCGTTTTCCTAAGGTTCTTATGTAAATGAGTTGCCCGCGGGGTGCAAAGAAAACTGAGATTCAGATGAGTAAACTTTTAGATATAAATTTCTGAACTCCATTTTCAGAAAGGAGGAACAGAAATCCTGAGCTTCGCAATTTGCGTTTCAATGAGAGTTCAGCGGTGAGATAGAAAAACCGCTAGTATAGCTTAGGATGCGACAAGCGTTTTGCTTCCCTCGAGGATGATGTGCAATGCCGCAAACATTATGTGAGTGAAAAGAATAAGAAAGCGAAGGGCATATGTTTAGTTAAATTGTCTAATGAAGAAAGATGTTACTCGTTTTGTTACGAGAATGGTACTAGAAAACAGTCTTCTTTCCTCGTGGAATGGGGCGCTTCACTTGAAAGGGTCTTCTGTTTCTAGCCTAGGGTTGAAACCAAGGATCAAAAATATCTCACGAGTTAAGGTCCAGAAAATTATTCCTTGCATGTATCAATGGTATTGAGAACCTTGTAGCAACAGCAGACTTGCATAGCCCAAGTTTTGGGGCTGTGATTAACCCTTTTACTCCCAAGATCTCAATAGTAATTCTCCTTACTGTCTGCCGTACAATTCTTATGAGGTTAGTTTGGGGAATCTAATCTTGAATCGACTAATGATCCCCAGATTGATATTTGTGTCTATTATATCGTATTGACATTGTGAGGAGAAATTCTGTCTTGGTCACTCATGAGAGTTTAAAAGCCCCGCGTTGAAATTCATCCTTCAGCAGTTTAGGAAGTCATCAACCTCTGCGTCGGAATAAATTTTGGTCACGTTAAGTAGCCGATTTATTGTCTAAAGCGTATATCCAATATTATTCATTATTAAAAAATTTGGATTTTAAAGCTCTGGAAAAGGTGACGGCACGATAGAAAAAGGAATAAAGTGCTCATACTATAAGTAAACATAAAATGAAAGAGTTGTAGGAGGGTTGAACTTGCGGAGTGTGTCAGGTCTGGAGACAAATATGAAGAACTCGAGAAACATACCATGTCTTAAACTAATCACTAAAGACTTTTTTTCCTCATCATAACTTATGACGAATGCGCAGAGAACCCTCTACTGACTTTCATGAAAGTCACCATTTAGTCTCGTGAATGTAATCTTTTATCAATCAATTTTTGATGCTATGCCTAGAGCCCCTTTAGTTTGATCCTTCACTGACTCCTTGCCTTGGCTTAATATCTTCGTTGAAAAGAAGTAATATACAAAAGTTAACCCAAAAGATTAGGTAGGAGACAACTTGTTTTATTTTAGGAGCGAATAAATTTATTTGAAATTGTGCTTGCTAAAGGACATGTGCACCTCCCGAAAACAATACTAGCACTGTTTGTCCGTAAAGGCTCTTGGATTCACGCAATTATCAATTCGTTGCATAAGGGCAGCATTTTTTTATGACTGCGTTACTTTGTGTACATTCTCTGTTACGATCCTTGGGCGGAAAATCTCTTACGGCAATGAGTCACAAAGTGGTTGCGGACACACCACGAACATAAATCAGTGTTAACCTTCTTATTCGCTGAGATGACTGTACTCGTTCATTTGGATGGTTGACAATCGTAGCAGTCATAGCAAGAGTCACAGCTGAGGTCAATTGACATCAAGCACAGTTGCAAACTGTTTAATCAAAGGTAAATTTATATCCGTTAAAACGCTTCAGTAAATAACAATAATTGTGTCGTAGAGGTCAAAGTTGTTTGTCGTAGCTCTTTCGAATTGTCATGCTAATACGCTTATCTCAGTATATGCTTAGCAGTTGTTTAGCACGAAAGTTACACAAGAGTCTCCGTCGTTTTTCTACGAAAATTCGTAAATGAGACTTTTCTTGAGTTACTTATCTTCCTCATCCCGACGCGGTTGACTAAGTGAAACATCGACGTAGGAAGTACTGAAGAAGAACCTTAATCTCGTTCCTTAGAGAAGCTACTTTCACTTTCATCTCGTACGACCAGACTAATCAGAAATTATTTCTTCAAGTTGCAGAATGGAAATTGACAATGTTCAGAAGGAGAAACCCCGAGATAAACACTCTGAGTACTACATCGTCCGCTTTGATCCATTTCAGGAGCTGATTCAGGGAGAGTTATTGCAAGCTTTATCAAGCTCATACGATTTTAATGTGAAATCATTTGTCACTGTTTATCCTGCTTACCAAGGAGGGCATAAGACGCGGGTAATAGTGCGTTCCACCAGCAACGAAGCATTTACCCGACTCTCAAACGAAGATGCTAATTTACTTTTGCCTTGTTCCTCACCTGAATCAAGGTATCAAGTACTTAGTCAACAAGGAATGGTTGTATTTGGGCGACGTCTTCAGCCGGGAACGGAAGTGCTTGTCTCCGTTAAAGAATGCCCATGGAGTTTAAATGACGAGTTTATGAGTGCTATCGTGAAGTACAAGGGTGAATTGCCGTCTGAAACTGGAACCTTTTTCGGTTTGGAACTGAAGAGTGTAAGTAGCTCTTAGATCATAAGAGGAACTTTGAGGAACTAGGAATTTACAATTTAAAAGATATTTGAATCCGTATGACAACTACAGAAGTAGGCAGACAGCCCGTTTATGCGGGGAGAACTACCTAAGTATCAGATTTCAAACATCTTTCCCCGAGCAGAAAAGATTATTGTGCCATCTTTGCTTATTGGCGAATTTATCAATATCCCATTTCCATCACGGTCTCAGTATCAAATCAGTACTAGAATTTGAGCAATTTTATGCACTGCACCGTATCTGCTTATTATCTTAAAGAAACAGAACTTCAGTGGTTTATGTTTCGTTTTAGTGATAAGTCAGGTTAATCCTAAGCAATTTGAACATGGAAGAAAAATACAGTTAGAATCATATTTGATTGGATCTGTCAGAGCGAGACCGCATCAAAGAGATCAGACCGGAGAGTGTGGATAACAATCGTCCATTTAAATTTTTGCTTTAACATCGTATCTCCGAAAACACTATGTAGTCTCTTGTCCCTGTACCGGCGATATCACTCTCATATGCCCCTAGTTTGTACCTTTTCGATCATTTTCACCACCTTCCATTTCATGTTCACAAAAACTTAGACTGGACAATTACAGGAACCGGAAGTTGTTAAGAACGATCAAAATTTATTATCATGCAGCAAATTAATTCATTTTTGATCATTGATATTAAAATCATTGTTATTAATTATCGCTGATTTGGGTTTTTTAAAACTATTTTCTGTCGAAACAATCGAATATTCTCAGTTTCTTCATGGCAGATTTTTATTGACGAGGGCCTCATTAATCAGTTAAGATCTGCAAATAGAAACTGCACGTTGATTTTTAAATATTCATCAATGTAATCTGCAATATCCCGTATTCCCCTGACGTTTTCCATTAGAATACTTAATGATTCACTTATTTTCTTGATCGTATCAACTGCGCAAACAATTCCAGTTTTGTAACTGCGACAATCTGCTTTTTGACCCTTATTTAGAGCAACCATGCAAAGGGAAATTCTGTCGGCAGTCATTCAGCAAAACCGTCTTTCTCTTGGGCATCACCAACTGGTATTTTTGTTGGACTGGACAGGCTAAAGCCTTTACACTTAGATGCAGAAGAACCTGACTATCCAGAACCAAGAGAATTCCAAGCTTATAAAATACACCTACAGTCTGTTACAAGAAGGCATGATCCACTTCATATACCCCAAAAGAGAGCTGACAAAGCATCAGTACAGACTGGTCAAAACATCGTGACTCTTGTCGTGGATGTTCCATCCAGAGAAACTAAACTACAAAAGAGTAAAGAGGGATCTATAGAGATAGGCCCGCCTCTGGTAAGATACATTACATTTCACTTTGTTTGTTCTGTTTTATTAACCCTTGACAACCGAACATCAGTTTGCATATTTTACATACTTTCTCTCTACATTTCTTACGGTTCCGAAAAGGAGAATTTGTTGAACAATCGAGAGCGTCTTAAGTTGTTGATCATTTCAATTAATGTCCTTCACACGACCTTAATGTTTTATCCAGGGGTGATGTTGTGAGGAGAAATTACATGCCAATCACTCTTAGGGGTTTAAGGGTTAACCTGTTGGAGGTGAAATTTGTGTGGATGAAATTGTCGACTAAAAACAGACAACGATTCTTCTTAAGTATCCTATGTGAGTTTACTCTTGAAGGTAATTAGTTGGCATAAATCTTCAGGGGAAAAATAATATTCCAGCACAAAATTTTCATGCAGTGTTCTAGTTCTTCTAAGTATAATCAGATTGCCATGTAAACTATATAGCATTTTATAGCATGTCTAAACGTTTTTCAAACAAGGCTCCCTCGTAATGGCTCATGCAGGTATTCCCAGCCATCAGGTATCAGCACTTTTCCCTCTTACCCATCCCCTCCAAAGTTTTTTCATTTATACTCGACATTCCCTTTGGCAATCAAGACATGTGAAACAGCTTTATTTACTCACAAATGAAATAGTCTCTGTGATACTTTTGTACCGAACGGTTTGAGTTAGTTTGGTTTTTTCCCCTTAGGATGAGAGGGCTACTACAGCTGAAACTGGAAAAGGAAATGCTAAGAAGTTGTTAAGGAATGAAGAGCAAATTGAGGAAATTGAAACACACCCTGATACAAAGTCATCAGGTAAGCACAATATGCCACAAATTGTTTAACGAGTGATGATCTATGGGACTCGATGAAAAAATTGGTGAATCAGTTTTTTTCGGCGGCTGTACATTCTTTTTGTAGACCATGAACACTATGTTTATGGTTAGGTTATACTTCTTTCCTGGATTAAATGAAAAGACCTATTTAATGCGCACTTCAAGTAACTTAATTTCCAACTATTTTTTACATACCTTATTTACTTGATTTAAACTCTCCCGCGATTGGAAGCAAATTGACCAATGAACACCGCCCTCGAATAAATGCCACGTCTAATCAATCAGACAAACGAGGAGTTAATTTCAAGTTTATTTTTCAAAACTATAAGAAAACAAAATATCAAGGAGGTTTCAACCCAGTAATCTACTCAATCAAAAAATGCAAGTGAAGGGAACTTATTACAGATGTTGTTTACAGAAATTTACCAAAGTCAGTCACCAAAGAAATCTGGTCAGTTTGAAGAAAAGGCCACCCTCGAAACGCCAAAAGTCTTATAAAATTGCTGAGAGTATTTTTATCAAACGTGGGAGACACTTCCATAATTACGTAATGGACCAAGGAACCATCAGATGATTCAACTTATCAATCTTCCATGAGTTTTTGCTAATACGATCCCTTCCAGTATTAACGGTATGGGGAGGTTGAACTTGCTTGAGATCATGGAATACCAAAATAGCCAGGCCACCAAGGTATTAGTCATTATCTATCGCAGGTGGGGGGGATGGGGGAGGGGGGGAAAAAGAGTTTGATTGTGTCACGATAAAATGTACCCCATAACTGGCTCTGTAATATTCTTATGATCCTCCTTCATTGCCAGCAGTTAATAGGCAGTCAATGCTAAGTAGCCCCCCCCCAAATCCTCCCCACCTCCCATGGTAATAGATAATAAATGATAATAAATTATTTTTTTGAAGAACCTCTTCCATTATTACTGACTTGAATACTTAAATTGTCGCCCATAGTGTTTAAAACTTTCTATAAATTTTGAATAAAACCGACTCTCTTTTAGAGCATCAAGGAATCTATTCAGTTGTGCAGTCGGCGGAAATAGGACTAACAGAAAATCAGCCGAACACATCCAAAAGAAGAAAAGAGAAAACGAACCAAGGAAAGGAGCCTAGACAGAAAGAGGTACGAGAAGAAATGTTTCAAACAGACTTGAGAAAAATGGAGCAGAGGATAAGAAGTCAAACGGAAATAGAATCGACAGTAACTGCGTTACTCCGACAGCTCGAGGAAGGGGACCGGCGAGTGATTACTCTTCAGAAGCAACTAAGGGAGACGAATCAACAGTGTTTAGAAAGAGAGGAACGAGTAGAAATCTTACGAACAGACTTGAATGAGGTGAAGCGCGAGTTAACAAATAAAATGACGGTGAATGAGGCAAGAGAAAATGAGTTGCATCAACAGCTCGAAGAAAGGGATCAGCAAATAGAAAACCTTCAGATACAACTGCGGAAGCTGGAACGGCAGCTGAGAGAGAAAGACAAACGAGAAGAACTTTTACAAAGAGATCTAAAAGAGATGGAGCAACAATTGCAAAACGAAATGACGCAGAAAGAGTCGAAAGAAAGGTACCTGCATAAACAGCTGCGAGAAAGAGATCAGTATATAGAAGACATTCAAGAAAAACTGAGGGAGATGGGACAACAGTTGAGACAGGAAGAAGAACGAGAGGAAATTTTCCAGATTCAGCTTAAAGAGATGGAACGACGACTGAAAGAGGAAGACACTACGTTTAATATACGGCTCAAAGATAAAGACCAGCAAATAGAGAACTTGCAGAAACAGTTGACTGAGAAAGAAGAACGAGAGCAAAGGTGGAAAGAAAAAATAAAGAAAACTGAAACGAGAGAAACATGGTTTCGTGATCAGCTTATTGAAAGAACCCAACGAGTATCAAACTTTCAAAGAAAGTTGAGTGAAAAGGAGCTGGAGTGCAGAGAGAAAGAAGAACGAGAAGAAAATTTACGAACACATCTTGGCGAGTTACAGCAGCAGTTACGGGAAAGGGAAAATTTGCAGAGACAGGTCACGGAGATGGAAGACCGATGGAGGAGTGCTCAACGACAACTTGCAGAGAGAGAAGTGGAAAGTGCTAATTTAAGGCAACAAGTTGCGATTCTGGAGGATAAATTGGATTCACAGTTCTGCGACTGGATTATCCCTCGAGATGAGATTCAAATATCGGATATCACTCTTGGAGCTGGAGGCTGGGCAGAGGTGTTTGAAGGCAGGTATTGTGGGTGCTCCGTCGCTGTCAAACAAATGCACGAAACCATCGTTTCTCCTCATAACCAGAGTTTGTTCTGGCGAGAGATTGACATCGCCTCAAGATGCCGCCATCCTTGCTTACTGCAGTTTATCGGAGCAACTAATGACGAGGGAATTCCCCTCTATGTCACGGAGCTCATGGAAACAAGTTTGAGGCAACTGTTAGAGCAGCGACCTCTTTCCAAGGCCGAAATATCTGTTATTGCTCTGGATGTGGCTCAAGCTTTAAATTACCTTCACCAAAAGAAACCTTCTCCGATTATCCACCGTGACATCAGCAGTGGCAATGTGTTGCTATGGCGACAAGGAAATCGATGGCGAGGGAAAGTTTCTGATTACGGCGCCGCCAAATTCAAGGAACAGAAGATGTCAATTGGTCCTGGCTGTTTTGCCTACAGCGCTCCCGAAGTAAATAAATCTTCGAATCAGACGGCGAAGGTTAGGAGATATATAATGCACCTATTTGCCTTACTGCGTAACTTACATGCAACCACCACTGCCCTTGTCGTATGGATAAATTACTGAGTTACATAGCAATAGTTTTCCATACTATTTAAAGCGGTAAAAGAGTGATAAAAGAGAAAGTTGATGAGACACTTGAATAAAATAATTCGTAAAGTCGTTAACGCGGGAACACATTTCCTTGAACAGCTTACCAACAAGTATTTCCTGTTTAATTGGAAAGGAAAAGATGTCTTGTTGTCTCAGGCTCTCAAATGAAGTAGTTAAAGTACATTGGAGTAGTAATTTAAATGGAATGATATGATGGATTGTTTATCATACAGATGGAATGATAATTTAGCTCTTTTAGCTCGCATTTACATTTTGTAAACGTGACAAAAAGGTTACTTTCAATGATTTAGAAAAAAACAAGTTACCTTTTTGTTAAAACCGAGGGAAGAAATATTCTTTAAATGCGCAGACCTTTTTTAATTTCGTCCATCTGTCTATTTTTGCATGGTTAATCACTCTATAATACTGCCGAGTGATACTATCACTCGGCAGAATAAGCATGCAGTTCCCTTTGACAAGCGATAATAACAAGGCCGTAAAGATTGCCAATTATAGTCAAACCCTTTACATCAGTTCAGTCTTAAGAACTTCGCCAAGTACATGAAATAGGTACTAAAAATCTCGTTACACTAATCAAAGACCTAGCCGAGCATCTAGAACAAAGATCAATAATTTGAACAACCTTGAAGGGCGATTATAAAACACAAACGCATAGCATTGTACCGTGAACGACAGCAAGTCGCTTCCACGAACTCTCTTGATCGTGCCTGGTAATCGTCTCAAGGGGAGGGAAAGTATTCCAGATTCAATAAAATTTAAATTATTCCCGAGACTCGAATGATAATTAATTTTAATTTAATTTTTTTGTTGCTGTTTTTTTTTAAGATTGATGTCTACAGTTTCGGTGTTCTCCTGTGTGAAATGTGCTCCTTTAAGCAGTTTCCAGACCCACAAAAGCGCCTAGCGCAAGTAAATATGGTAAGAGACCATGGCCTGCGAGAACTCGTGCGTCGATGTCTGAAGACAAATCCCAGGGAAAGACCAGACATGACAGAGATCATAAGTGAACTGGAGAGGTTGCGTTGAAACCGACAGTTAGGTCATAGCCTTTTTTATTCGATCTGTCCGAAATATGCCTGGCTTTGCAAGTTCTCTCGTATCTTGTTGCCGTGAGACTTGCGTTTATTTAGTCTTATCTATAATGGTTCATAATTTTGCAGGAGGACTATTTTCGGGCTATGTCTATGTGGAATTATTTGGTAACGATATTGAGCAAATATGATAACAATTATAAATGTTCTTTGATAGATATAGAAAAGAAACCTTATTGTCAACATGTCATTACTTAATAGATGCTGCTTTGAAGAAGCATATAAAAGCGTACAAATGTAAATTTTAAAGCGGTTTATGGTGCAAACGGGTTCTCTGTTGTTTGAATTTGGATCGCAAACTTTATGCGTATTCCATGCGAAAATACGTTTGCGCTTTGCCAACTCTTGGATCAAAGTTTTGGATGTAGAAATAGTAAAAAGAAAAGTCATCCAATAATCAAGAAAAGAGAGGATATCGTTTTGTTATCACGGAGGTTAATGTTTTAAGACATCATAGAGTTCCGTAAGAGTGTAGTGACTGCCGTCATTTAGCAGATATGGTTCACTTCGAATTATATTTCCTAAACGTTGGTTTGCAGTAAGAACCCGCGTTAAAGAATCTATCAGTTAGGCTAAGATATTCATTTTTACCTCCTTTTATACGTATGGACCTGTTTTCAACTTTAAACTAACATTTAAAATAACATTAAAATAACATTTAAAACGGGTTTTTATTTAATGATACGGGGTTTTTTATTTTTTTTATTAAAAAAAATAACATCTATGTTAGCGTACAGAGAGTGGTATGTTGCTCGCACCAATCAGATAGTTTAGCGTATGTATCTCGCACCAATCAGATCGCCGCGTTAGGGTATTTATTTCGTACCAAACAGCGTCGTTTTTGTTGCGCTCTTTGGTATGCTCTCGCATGCATAGCATGCCTATATATGTTTATCTAATGATAACGAGTTTTTACGGTTTGTGTCACAAAGTAGTAACTTCTGGTGTGGATCGCGACCGCATGCTGCCAGTCTTCCTCAAGTGATGAGTACGTATATGATTACGTAGTTTTTCAACATTGTAAATGACGAATTTCGATTATCTTTCTTTCAGCTCTGCGCTGTCGTAAGGCTTCCTTCTTGAAGGGTTCTTATCTTTTTCTCATAAGTGATACATAGAGAATAATACATGGGCGCGCATAGATATGGAATTTCTCTTCGAGTTGAACACAAGAAGAGGAATTTCACATCTCCAAGCAACCATGTATTATTTTGTTTATCATATAAACACAACAGCCCTTTACTGACAACAAAAGTCGACTTTATTGATAAATTAAAATAAAGGGATCAACAATAGCCGAATAAAAATTGTGAAGTGCATTGGCGTTAAGGCTCAAGATGAAAAAATGCGTTGAAAACCAAACTATGGGCGTAATTTTCAACTTACAAAATTCTCAGTTTTCGACTTAGTCCTTACCGACAGAAGAAATCTTTCAGGTACACGGCCAAAATCGGCCTGTTACAAATCTTCCAGTTGTCGATTTTCGTTGTCAGCAGTGAGAAATGCCATTATTAAAGCCACTGAATACGTAACTATCGGTTTTTTTCCCGGACATTGTCTTCTAGAAAAGTTTGAACGTCACTGTCTGTAAGCAATACGGACTTTTCAGTGTTTTAGCAGCCATAATCCGAAAAAATCATTCCGACAAACGACCTTGGATTGAGAATGGCGAAGGCTTCACCGTTCATTCATCAACCTGACCGAGTGGCGCGAAAGGCGAGTGAATTGTCAGCAGCTGATTGGCTATATCAAACACACGTGAAACAATATGGTATTTTTTCACGTGTGTTGTTACGGCTTTTCTCAGGGCTGAAAATCCTTGCATAACACCGCAGTTCATATGATAGAAGGTGGTCCTACTCTTATTTTATATAATTAGTTTAAATTAGAAATTAATTTATCAGCTGAGACAGGCTTTATCTGTTATAAATATTTTAGAGATTTGTTTGTTGATCGTGCGGTCTGATCGTCTAGGTGTGAGTAGTACTGAAAAGGATTGCTCGTTGTGACAGTGAATACAGCAACCTTAGTGGAAAACTCCTTTGATGACTTGCGCCCAGGTTGTCGAAACAGCAGTCACTTGTACCGAAAACAGTCCTTTTCAGGACTAGAAGGGGTAAGTTTCTGAAAAAAAGAACTGAGGTGTTGCTTTGGTGGAGGCAAAATCAGAATATTTGATTTTATCTGACGAAGGGCTGACGATCGAAAAGTGAGCTTTAGGAACTCTTTACGGTGTCCAATTTACATTATCAACGTAGTTGATCAAACCAAATTATCTTGTGATATCCCCCAGCGACGCAGCACCACAGTTTATAAAAACTTACACCATTTTCAGGACTCCTCTCACCCGGACGATCAGACTACACGACCAAACGTTTTACCTTGTGTCTAACCACTCACTGATAATATGTTTGTATAAGCTGTGCGACTCAATAATAAAATTAAGTAATAAAACATTATTTGTTTCGTTTGCCTTATGACTGACCAACATGCCAAGAGAAAATTCTGTTTAAATATAGAGTCGAAGTTACTTAAGACATTGCATATTAGGGAAGATGCTGTTCCAAGGGTCGAATCTGCTGTTAACACCTAATTTAACCTTGTAGTTGTCGTAAATTGTATTTTGGTGAAACACCATGGAAGATGCATGTCAGTTCTGGCCCAACTTTTCATCAAATCCCCAGCGAAATAGCCCCCAGCATTTTGTCATGTGTTTAGACGAGACCATGTATATTTGGAATACTGTAATAATAGCGGACTGTATATTGAGGGTAGCCCTAGAAAAATAATCTGCGATCACGTGCCCCTTCTATCTGTCTAGGACTAACAAGACTACAATCTTGAGTTAAGAGGGTCTCAGTAGGGTCAACCATTAGCCGTAAAACGGCATAAGTTTGTTAAGCCTTTAGACGCAAACTTGACAAAATTTAACGGTTAGACGTAAAAACAGTGAACTTAAAAAATTTTCCTCGTAAACTCAAACGGAAAAAAATGAACTGTTAGCCGTGAAATGTCCATAATTTTAACTGTTCGGGGTGAAAGCCAACACCCCGATGAGAGCCTCAGTTAAGAGCCGTGAACTTTCTTAGAAGCTTTCGGAGATATCAATCAGACTGAACTGTGTGTGTGTGTGTTTATTCCAGTTAGTCAAGACTTCTTTATCTCATTAGTGACGTACATAATGAACACTAATTATACGTACATAATTAGCCGTTAATGTACTGATTTCATTACACCCTCCCGGGCCAGCCATAAAATGCCGATCATAGATATTTACACTGTCAAAAGGTAATAGTATTTAAAGTTCATTAAGTTTAGAGAATTCATTTATTTTTATTGCAGCTCGTTGAGCAGCAGCTCGTTGAGCAGCAGCTCGTTGTGTTCGTTTTTGGCCTGTCGATCTAATTTCTTTATGGTTCTTGAATTTCTCTTCAGAGCCTTGTAGGTTATCTTCCTCGGCTAACACTTCAAGAGGGTAAAGTTTCTCGATAGGTCTTGAGATCAGGTTTCCTCTTGCTGTTCTTAGGGTGACAGAGCGCACCAACCCATCCTTCCCCTGATGTAGTTGAATGATGACTCCGAGTTTCCATTGATTTCGCGGTGTTTCGTCATGTATCAGAACAACCTTTCCTCGAGTCACTGGTTCCCCCGATATGTTTTTGTTTTTCTGCGATGAATGTTGTTCCCTGAGACCGGTTAAGTATTCCCTTTGCCATTGTTTCCAGAAAGCTTGCATTATTTTCTGGTGGTACTTCGCTCGTCTAGTTAGATCTTCAGCCGAATCTTGAGGGATGTAGTCGGAGTCTTCTTCTGTATCGGGCAGTGTCAGAAGCCTGTGTCCACAGAGGAAATGGGATGGGGTAAGGGGTGGACCGTCGTTGATGTCTGTATATGCATAAGTAAGTGGCCGACTGTTAAGTGTAGCTTCGATCTCTGTAAGTATGGTCTGTAATTCGATAGAATTCAGCGACGTGTTTCCAATCATTTTCTTCAGCCTTCTTTTGACTAGTCCGATTAGTCGCTCATAAAAGCCACCCCACCAGGGGGCTCTTTTTGTGATAAATTTCCATTTGATGCCATGGTTAGCGAGAAACCATTGAGACTCGGCTGCTTCTATCACTTGTGTTTTGAGGGCTTTTAGATCTTGTGAACCTGCTTTAAACGTTTTCGCGTTATCCGAAATTATGCATTCTGGAATTCCTCTTCTACTTGCAAATCTCTTGAAGGCTCTCAAAAATGCGCTGGCTGTTTGATCCTCTACTAATTCAAGATGTACTGCTCGTATTGCTGTACAGGTGAATAGGCAGATGTAGACTTTTCCGACTTCTTTGTGGGCATTACGCACGTATAATGGTCCGGCATAGTCAATTCCCGTCACCTGAAAGGGTTGGGACCCTGTGACTCTTATATATGGTAATGGAGGAGCGTTAACTGAGCGAAATGGTGGTCCTTCTACTTTTCTACAAGTTACGCACTTCCTTATTTCCTTTTTTACTAGCTGTCTGCCTTTAGGTATCCAATAGGACTGCCTGAGTTCCGTTAAGGTTTCACGTACGCCGCCGTGCAAAACCATGCAGTGAGTTGCTCTAACAATAAGAGTTGACAAGTGACTCTCCTTCGACATCAATATTGGAAACTTGGTGTTGTGTGGAAGTTGTGCGTATTGAAGCCTTCCGCGACATCGTATCAAGTTATCATCATCTAAATAGAGGCTAAGTTGTTGTATTATTGCTGGCCGTTTGCTTTTAGCTTTGTCTTTGATTTTAGATAGGATGTCTCTATAGTAGAATTGTTGTACAGATTGGAGTAGAACGATGCGAGCGTGTTTCATGTCTATGGTAGTAATTGTGTCAGATTTTGTTTTCCCTCGCAGTTTCCCGGTGAAAAGTATAACGAGCGCGGTAACTCGTAGTGTCTTGTTCCAGGTACTGTATTTGGTGATGTCGATGACGTTCAGTAAATTTGCGCTCTTTTGTGCGCTTGCGAGATTAATGCTTATGGATTGGGTCTCCGTGTAATTTCCTCTGTTGTTTTGTA